TGGAATCTTTTTAAACGGATAACTTCTTATTTTTAAGATCTTTTTTCTTGCTTTAGATGACCGACTTTAAATATTAAGTCCGCGACTGCCTCCTTTACGACTTCAGCTTTAGATGACCGACTTCAAATATCAAGTTCGCGTCTGCCTACTCTACGACTTCAGCTTTAGATGACCGACTTTAAATATTAAGTCCGCGACTGCCTCCTTTACGACTTCAGCTTTAGATGACCGACTTCAAATATCAAGTTCTCGTCTGCCTACTCTACGACTTCAAACTGGGCAAAAAAAGTCGCAGAATCCCATCGAGATTTGGTCAAAGCATTTGGGAATGATGTATTGTTCAAAAGCCGATGCCGAGCCTGGTTCCAACGCTTTCGGAATGGTGATGAAAGTCTCGAGGATCATGAACACTTTCGTCGACCTCAAGCAGTAGACAACGATATTTTGAGGGCTGCAATCGAATCGGATCCATGTCAAACGACGCATGAACTTGCTCAACAGTTTCTATGTTCAAATTCTACCATTGATGAGGATCTCCACGCCATTGGAAAAGCGATCAGATACGGGAATCAAGCGATCAGATGGCTTCCTCACGAGTTAAGCAGTGCAAAGGCTCGTTTATACCCGAACAACCTAATATTAAAGTTACTTAAATTAACGAAACCCAAGATCCCTCCATTTTCTTTGACTATTCGATTTCAATAGATTAACCACCCAAAAACTCATCTATATTTCATAACTAAGCGTAATTGGGATTTCCAAGTGAGTCGATTTCGTTTAACATTTATTAATGCATATGAATGTACTGTAAACTGATAGAAATTAAGATCAAAACTTATACTTAGATTAGATATATAAAGTATGAGCACTTGAAAAAGCTTCGGACGTTGTTCAGTGCTAGATCTAGAGTTTTACCTGATTTACATAATATATAGCTGTTCTGGAAATTTATTTAGATAAAACTTGTAGCCAAATATAGCCATTTTCATAGCAGTTGAAACATGGAATGGCGAAAGAACGCTTACACTTCATCCCCAGGGAATAGGAAACACTTTTAAACGACTAGGCAATAGATCCCATCAACGGTTGCTGAAAACTTGTGTAAACTTTACTATATGAAAGTTTAGAGAAGATTTTAAACTTCTACTTCTTTTATCATCATCAACATTACTAGAAAATTGACATTAGCTTTTAAAGAAGTATTTAAGTATTGATAAAACTATTTACAAAAGAAATTTTAAAGTTAATTGTAAATAAAATTAGAGAAAGATATTGAAGAAGTATTGATAAATTGAATAAAATCAAAAAAAAGAGCCTAATAAAGAGTCCGAAAGCCTAATAAAGAGTTTGAGCGAATTTTCTATGCTTAAACCATTTCCTTATAAGTATTAAATGCTTCAAATAAACTGTCAACTCTTGAACTTCTTTATTTTATAAAGATTTGAAAGCTTTATCTCTTTGTTGTTATTGTTGTTGCTTTATTGCCAGGATAAGTATACAGCCTTGTATTTATAAAGAAGTGTTCGGAAACAAATTAGCGCAAACACAGCTGAACCTTCATTTTTTATCAAAAGAGTGAATAGGAAATGAGAGAAAATGAGAGAAAATGGGATGAATGATGACCGTTATGTGGTTGAGAAAAGGGGTAACGGATATTAGTCCAACTAGCCGCCAGATGCTCCCCGGATTTCGACTGGGTGAAGAGGGAAAAGAGGGTGATAGGTGGGACTTGTCATTACCCACTCCACCCCTTTCCAAGAGATTTCCTCAAAGAGATTTCCATTTCCGTGGATTGTCCTTTATCCTCTAAAGCTTTCCCTTCCACAAGACTTCTTCAAATATCACCTAACTTGCTCTAGAGCTAACAACTCACTGATGTTGAACAATACAAAACGCTTGTTCAACTTGAGCGGCTTGATAAAAGGAAAAGATTAGATGAATAAAGCAAATAAACAAATAAATGATTAGATCAGATGAAAAGATCAAATCAAAATTGTTTTAAAACCTATATAAACCTATATGAATTGTTTAGAAATCTATATGTCGTAGCCGTTTACGAAATTCAGCCGCTAACGAATGTTTCATTAGTGGCTGGCCGATTACAAATGATTCATTAACGGCTAGCCATTTACGAATCATTCGTTAGCGGCTGAATTTCGCAAACGGCTACGACATATGAAATATCATATTTGAAAAAAGATCATCACTTTCGCCCGTCTATAACTCCCTTGTCTTTACCGTATTTCTAAATATTAATATTACCATTGTGTAGCCATTGAAAAGAGCTTTCAGAAAATGTATAACACTAATAGTTTAAACTCAAAGACAACGGAGTTACAGACGCGCGAAAGTGACGATCGTTTTTCAAATATCATATTTCATTGTCCAGTACTGCATATAAAGATTAAACTTTTCTATCAATAAATTCTACTTCAAATATCTAATAAACCTATATTTATTTATAAGTTTTAAACTTTAACTTGAACTAACTCTAAGACTTAGTTAATAGATTTCAAATTTATAAGTCTATCATCAAAATCTATCTTTAAATCCGGCAATTAAATCACTTCAATAGCTCTCAATTCGATCTAAAGTAAAAACTATAAAGGAACTAAATAGGAAATATAAAGGAACTATAAAGGAACTAAATAGGAATGATAAAGGAACTAAATAGGAACGATAAAGGAACTAAATAGGAACTATGAAGGAACTATAAAGGAACTAGGAACTATAAAGGAACTATAAAGGAACTAAATAAGTTCTAGATCTAAAAAGAAAGCTAACAATTGTAAAGAATAGGTTATTGGAGATTTAAAATTTATATATCTATCATAGAAACTTTAAAAAAACTAACTAATAGTATGTTTTTTCTGGAAATTGTTTGTTAGACAGGTATAATACTTGTTAAACAAGTATCTAAGGAGCTAAAATATTGTATAAAAAAGATTACCGTCAAGCTTATTATTATTCACAGGGTGTGAAACGATTGAATTTTGAAAAAAGAAAAGAGAAAACGTTTATTGAGGCGGGTATTGTTGAGCATTGACGGAAAAAGGGATGGGAAACCACTGTCAATCCCCGAGGGAACACCCCCCGACCCATATTTGCATTCAATTCGCGTGTCGACCAAAAATTTTGCGAGCTAACAATTGCGATTAACCTATACTTTATTAAATGAATGATATACTAGATTTATGGTGATGAATAAAAGATTGTATCAGATAGTATACATCCAAATAGATACCGTAAATACTGTAATAGTACGCCACCCTCATAATGACGGTGCGGAGCGTTGCGCAGTCTAGTTTTGAACGAGTTTTTCTCGACATTGGTTCTATGCTACAATGCGCGTTTAGGTATCAAAAAATAGCCCTGAATTTCAGCTATTTTTTGATACCTATGCGCCTTGTAGCATAAACCAGTGTCGAGAAAAACTCGTTCAAAGCTAGACTACGCAACACTCCGCACCGTCATTATGCGGATGGGGTACTATTACTGTATTTACGGTATGTAATGTACATATCATTATATTCTATAAATGTAGTTGAAGTTGGAGGATCTGTTATCGATTGCTTTATTTGCAAAACTTTTACAATAATCAGATAAAAGCTTTCATTAGTTCAATGAATTTATGTTTTAACTTTGAAAATGAAATAAGCTTGATCAATTGAGATATCGTATTTAGACGTTAATGAGATGAGCTTTAATTTTGACTAAAGCTTTAGTCAAAACCTTTAGTTCAAGCCTTTAAACTTTAGCCTTAAGCTTTAGCCTTAAGCTTTAGTCTTAAGCTTTAGCCTTAAAACTTTAACCTTAAGCTTTAACCTTAAAGCTTAGTTGCCGAGTTCTAGAGCAACAAATAGCCCAACAAAGCCAACTTTAAACAACAGAATTCTTTAAATATTTGAATCAATCCAACAAATCACAAATCACAAACCAAGCTTTAAATCCAGGTTAACATCGCCTGTAAAACCAATAAAAAAGTAATTTGAGTGAGAGTGAAGTGAGAGTGATGACCTAGAGGAGAATCGCTGCTCCAGTCGATTTCCTTTCCTCTCTTTTCCCTTCATTCATCCTTTCGATCACTTTGTTGTAAAATCTCTTTTTCTCTTTTTCGACAAAATCTTAAGCTAAGCTTGATCTCTTTCTTTTTTTCAAGAGATCACTTTCAATCTTCACTTTTCTTTTTCATTTCATCATAGCATATGCTTAGAGGTCACATGGTGAGCGTCTGTTTGTAAACTTTGAGAAAAAAAAACTGGCATTTGTTTTGATGGATTAAGTGATAGGGTTTTACAGTCAATTTACAGGTTTTACAATTAGTTACAAGCTAAAACTTTGACTGTAGATAGTAAAAGTTAGAGTGTGTTCCTCGGGAGTAAGTAATTACTCGAGTAACATTTACACGAGTAATCTTTACTCGATTAATAGGCGTTTTTGGTAGAGTAACTACGAGTAAATCCTCTTTACACTTCGAGTAAATTGAATATCTTTATGTTTGAAGGGAATTTGCCACCAAATCAGTTGAACGGTTGAATATCTTTAAAAGGAGTCGTATATAAAAGGAGCGCTCGTGATTTTCGTGCCAAAATCATTACGTTGGAAGAGAATTCCCCACCAAATCAGTTACACGGCTGAGTATCTTTAAAAAGTCACGTATATAATGCCCAGCTCGTCATTTTTTTTGCAATAATTTTCGCTAAAAGTATGGTAATTTTTCTTAAGCGTGCGCTTTAAAAAAAAGGCATTACTCGCAAGGAACACACCAAAAAGTAACTATAAAGGAACTATATAGGAGCTAAATGGGAACTAAATAGGAACTATAAAAGAACTAAATAGGAACTATAAAGGAACTATAGTAAAAGTAAAAGTAGAACTTGTTTAACTATTTGTTAACACTAAATTTGTTTACAACGCGAATAAAATGCTTGTAAAGTTTTTTTTTTTCCGTAGATTTTGTTCAAAATAACAATAAAATCTGTGGAATTCTTTATTTTCTAGTAAAGCACATATTCAAAATTGAGTCTGAACTTGCAATCAGGTTCTTTTGTCAAACTGTCGCAAACAGAAGTCGAGTTTATGTCTGCTGTATCGTCAATTGCCTAGAAATTTGTGAAATAAGAAATAAACAGTCATTCTTGACTTTGTAAAATCATCGATTTCTATAGAATTCCGTTCTAATAACACCAAATTACAATCTAAAATTTTACCTCGTGTGCAATCTCATTAACATTCTTGATACAGAGATTTCCAAAAGTTCCATTACCGAATTTTTCCTGGCAATACTCATCAAGTTTCTCAGCGAGTTTTTCCTAAACACTTTTATCAATGTTTAACAATTATTTCCACCTCTCCACACTCCTCATAGGTTTTAAGGATCTCAGTAATATCCAAACACATCTCACACCAAATATCGGCTTGACCTAAAGTTAAACTTTAAGTACTTAATAGAATTACAGCACTTTAACTAGCACTAATTTCTTTCCTTACAATAAATTCATAACCCTTGTAATAGAACTTTTATCAAACCAGTCTAATCGACATTAATTTGGATAACTTATACTTTATTTTCTAACTTTAGTCTTTTCTTCTAACCAGTCTTCTTCCAGTGTCCCTTCGGTCCAGAAATCAATCCACAATTGTCCGTACCGCGTCTCTTCGGAGCACCAAACACCAAAGCCAAGCACAAAGCTGAAATATCGATCGTTAAGCTTTAAGGGTTTTTTTTACTTAATCTTAAGCTTTCATATTCTGTAATAGCTTTCATGTTCTGTAATATTAAAAACCAACCGGCTCCAATAAGGACATAGAAACGCATGTTTAACAAACTCAAATAAAAAAAGACTATCAATAAAGAAAGATTTATGAGCTCTTCAAAAAATTTTTCTTCAACCCTTCGACCTTGAAATCTTTTGATAAGAAATTTTTTTCCTTTTTTCTCTTTTCTTTGAAAAAAAAAACCATGCGGATTCAATTTTCGTCAGCAATGCAATGTTTTACAAGCATCCTGTTTGTCTCTGGAAAGTTTAAGTCAGAAAAGAGCTTTCTCTTTCTTCACTCGTCACTTATCACCAATTCTTCAAGTACTAGATCTAATACTGTAGATAAATGTTGAAAAAAAAATGGTTTGTAGCATGCTGTGCTTTGCTGTGCTTGTCCGGGTAGTGAGACCCTTCGATGCCTGCAATTATTTGTAACGTGCTATGCTTTAAAATTTATCTAATACTGTAGATAAATGTTGAAAAAAAAATGGTTTGTAGCATGCTGTGCTTTAAAATTTATTACAATCAATAAAGCTTATATTCGTATTTTTCCATTGATTGAATAGTGAGAATCATCGACGTGCAAAACGCGATCACAGTTCATCACGAGTTTAGGTTCTCTGTGTCATTGATCAACTGGAATCTCCTATATATAAAAGAGTGCCTGTCCGGGTAGTGAGACCCTTAAATGCCTGCCATCCTTCCCCATTCTTCCTTTTGCCTTAAGAAAATCTTACACAATGTTAATGTTAATCTTACAAAGTCCTAGATGCCACTTACAGAAGTGCCCTTCAATACCTGCCATCCTTCCCCATTCTTCCTTTTTTCTTAAGAATATCTTACACAATGTTAATGCTAATGTTAATCTTATAAAGCCCGAGATGCTACTTGCAGGAGTGAAACCCTTCAATGTCTGCCATCCTTCCCCATTCTTCCTTTTGTCTTAAGAAAATCTTATACAAAGGTGGTGTTAATGTTAATCTTACAAAGTTCTAGATGCCACTTACAGAAGTTCCCTTCAATACCTGCCATCCTTCCTTTTTTCTTAAGAAAATCTTACACAATGTTAATGCTAATGTTAATCTTGCAAAGCCGTAGATGCCACTTACAGTGAGACCCTTCAATGCCTGCCATCCTTCCCCAGTCTTCCTTTTGTCTTAAGAAAATCTTACACAATCTTATTCAAAATGAAATCTTTCACAGAATCTTTCGCAGAAAGAAACACATGTTTAACAAACTCGAATAAAAGAAGACTATCAATAAAGAAATCTCCTATAGAGCAGTGCCTGTCCGGGTAGTGAGACCCTTGAATGCCTGCCATTGTTTGTAACCTGCTGTGCTTTAAAATTTATTACAATCAATAAAGTTTATATTCGTATTTTCCATTGATTGAATAGTGACAATCATCGACATGCAAAACGCGATCACACGTTCGTCCCGTGTTTATATTCTCTGTGTCATTGATCAACTGAAATCTCCTATATATAAAAGATCATTGCCTGTCCGGGCTCTTTCTCAGCAAAAAAACTGAAGTCTTTTCATAAAAGATATACTATATTTGAGCCATTTAAAATAAAAAAGAAAAAGGTTTCAGTGGTACCAAGGAGGGTCGAACCCGAGACAAGCCCGCTGCCGACTACGCCACGACGACAACAGGATGTCACTAATAAAAAGGGGTTTTTCACCTGGTTTTGAGTATAAATGCGAATGTTAACAGTATAAATCTAGCAGCGTAGCTTTTTAATCGATCAGTAACAGCGGGTTTTTCTGACCGAAGAGACTCTATCGCTGTTGCGTAGTCGGAAGCGTGCTTGTCTACAGCTCACACGATCCGGGTTCGACCTTCGTAGAGCAAGAAAGTTCTAACCAAGCCCATGTTCAGGTATTATCCAGCCCAAGCTAAGCTAGAGCTCGACTAGGTCTAGACAAGCTAGCCAACACCAACTGGCTTCTAGCCTGGCCCGGAAATTCCTTTAGCACAACTTTTATTATCAATTTAAACGAGTTAACCCTGTGAAAAGAGTTACAGGCTTAACTCACATCATACATGATCTCGTCAACGTACGACTCGCATAATTTCGTCGGAAGCGTACCATTGCCGAACTTCTTGATGCAATTCGTGTCGAGTTGTCGGCGTGCGGTTTCCTGAATTCTGATTTAAAACTGTTATAACAGAGCCTTTCAAAAGTCGAGCAAACCTCTCCACACTCCTCATACATTTTCGCGATTTCAATCAAGTCAAGACAAAGCTCACAGAACACCGAAGCGGCATTTTGTCCTGAAATCAAGCTTTTCAAAATCCAATCGTTAAAATCAACTCTTAAATCTTTCTAAATGATTCATTTTCGGGCATTACGCGCCATTGGGCAGCTAATTTTTACATCATTGGAATCAGCGTAAAATTCTGCATTGAATGGTCTATATATTGTCGGAAAAGGCCACGGGACCCAATCGGCACCAATCATTCCCTCGTAAATCCAAGCTGACCTGATTTCAAGAACCATTTCCCAGCAGGTTCGGTGATCGCCCCACAATTGTCTCTCTTCACTCGTCGATTTGGTACAGCAAAGACAAGGGCCAAGAAAAAGACTGAATAATTGTACTATTAAATCTTACTATATTTTTTAATCACTTACCTGATGAAATCACAGCGGTTAAACGCAGCATTTCGATCAATGAATTTTGGAAAATGAATCTTCTAGAAAATTTATCAATCCGTTTCCCCTCAAAATCCCCTCGCTGATTAGAAAGCCATGTGCTTTTTGAGGATTTTTTTTGAGAAAAATCTTGATTTAATTGGTAGCGATCAAGATTAATTCCTTTAAAAAACTTGAATCAATTTGCAAATATACATTGACAAATGTTTACTGACAATTGACCGAAAAAAACTGAATTGATCACATCAATCTTCAAGAGTTATGTATTAGATTGAAAGTTCGTGCACTTATTCATTGCACTTTTTGGAAATAATTAGTGCATTAATCTACAGTTTTTACCAATAAAAAGGCCAATTTATTCTCTAAAAAGGCTTTTGACAGATTTAGCTTCAGTTTTGTAGGTTTCTAGGGGACAAGAAGTTGAGAAACCAAAAATAATGAACACTCGATGTAACGATTTGAGCATTTTCTTCTACATAAACCTATTTTAGTGTAAATAAAAAAAAGATAGAGCACAAAAAGTTAGGTATCTAGCCAAATTTTCAGCTAAATATAAGCTCACAGAACATCAAAGCGGCATTTTGTCCTGAAATCGAGCTTTTCAAAATCCAATCATTAACATCAACTTCTAAATCTTAGATATTCATTGAAATTATTCATTGCACTTTTTAGAAATAACTAGTGCACCAATTGATCTACAGTTTTTACTAATAAGAAGGTCTATTTATTTAAAAATTGAATTTATTAGATTGGCAACTTGAGAGTTGGTACACTTATTAAAAAATACCGACTGGGGCTACCAGTGGTGAATTTATCGCATACACGAAATATATCAATCACAATACAACGACACACACAATACTAGGCTATATCTTAACTTAACCCACGTCATGACAGACGGCTCCCTAACCCTAAGCTCAATGGGGAACTAAATAGCTTTTTTGGTGGTGAAGGGAAGATGACGATGAAGGAGTGGCTTGTCACTTTAAAGAACTGGGGCCACAACCACCAGACTGCCCTCCAGAAAACCTCTCAACCCGAAGGGAAAGGAAATCCGAAGGGGGTGACCATGTCGCATGTGGGGTTCGAACCCTCGACCTTCCGATTAAGATAAAAGACACTTAACCAGTCAGCCACACGTGCTCAACTTGAGAGTTGGTACACTTATTCATTAAACTTTTCAGAAATAACTAGTGCACCAATTAATCTACAGTTTTTACCAATAAAAAAGGCCAATTCATACTCTAAAAAGGCTTTTGAAAGATTTAGCTTCAGTTTGTAGGTTTTTAGGGGACAAGAAGTTGAGAAACCAAAAATGATCAACACTCGATGAAGTGATTTGAGCATTTTCTTAGTTCATTCAGATTTCCTTAACTAAACGATTAGATTGAAAACTTGAAAGTTCGTGCACTTATTCATTGCAATTTCTAGAAATAACTAGTGCATTAATCTACAGTTTTCATCAATAAAAAAGGCCAGTTTATTCTCTAAAAGGCTTTTGACAGATTTAGCTTCAGTTTTGTAGGTTTCTAGGGGACAAGAAGTTGAGAAACCAAAAATGATGAACACTCGATGAAGCGATTTGAGCATTTTCTTAATTTCATTATATCTGTGTAGATGCTAAATATTTTAAAACATTTAAAAAGATTTATTGAATTGTACAGATTATTGAGATTATTGAACAAAAACGATTCAATATTTGCAATCATGGCCAAGACGTTTCGAGCAAATTGCTGGCGCGCTTTGATCTTCGGTTTTGTCAATCATCTGAAAGTTCAGTCAAGTGAAATGATAACTTAATAGTTTGTAAATCGAAATGCTTACATCTTCCATGATTCCATCAACAAGTCCTCGACAAGCCTTGTCACCAGCTGAATCAGCCTTGAAATCCTTGTCGCATTCAGATTCCATCTTGTGCTCGACTTTAGCCTAGAATAAGATTTTAACGATTCGAATTTTGTCTTTAAATTAGTACTTCAAATTAGTACTTCAAATTTTATCTCTACTTTTGTTACTTTACAATGTTTAGAAGTAACAAGAGTCGATTAGTTAAGTAGACAAAGCTTGAAGCTTGAATTGAGCAAAGATTCAAGCTGATTCAAGCTTGAATTCACTGATTCAAGCTGATTCAAGCTTGAATTGAGCATTATTTGCCCATTTTGCAACTATTGAGGTCAAAAACCGTTGCATTGCTCATCATCTTTACGCCATTTACTGACAAGTTTTGAATTGAGCAAAGCGAATGTGAAATAGCTGATTTATGATTTGAAAATAATAATCTTAATTGTCTAGAGTTTTACCTCATCACACTCTTCATAAGTCTTCGCAATGTCGACGAGATCAAGACACAATTGACATTGAACGGTGTTTGCTTGTTCTGGTTTCACTAAATGAAATGAAATGAAGAAAGTTTTTCGATAAACGAACAAAGTTTTTCAATTCAACTTTCACTTACTTTGCGAAGCGCGAATTTTGCGAATCTTTGATCGAATTTGAAGTCTCATTTGAAGAAGTGGGCTTGTGATCTCTCCACATTGATCGTCTTTCTTCTCTGGTTGAACTGGCTTCAAGATTTCGTCATTTGAAGCACCACTTTGATCACGAGCGACGACTGAAGAGACGACATCAAAGGGAAGACAGAGAGTTGTTCCAATAACAACACCTGAAATTGATCTATACTAATGACCGCTATAGGCGACTGGCTAATGACCGTCATAGACGACTGGCTTACAAGAGGTCAAGAGTTCAATCCCGTAGGCTAGATTGTCTCCAGTAAGTTTAACGATTTCCAAACTCATAGTCAGCTTCTGGATTCAACAAATAAGCTAATTGTCGCTAATTGTCGCCAATCTAGCCTACGGGATTGAACTCTTGACATCTTGTAAGAGACACTCTTAGCTAATAAGTTAACGATTTTTTTAAGTAAAGTAGATAACATTTAACGTTCATTTTATTAAACATTGTTAAGGTTATTTAAAAAAGAACTTACCCAAAACGATGAGCAACTTCATTGTTTGTAAACGTCAATTGATTCCGGGAAGGGAGAGTTCAGGTGATTTTTTCGCTTTTCAAAGGGTCCACCCGGTCCTTTCGTTGATCGTGTTATCTTTATAAGCATTCCATTTCAAAGATAAGCCCATTGCCGGCCGATTCATCCTTTTTTTCAGTCCAAAGCTATGCGAAATCAAAAGAATTGAGTCGAAAACACAAAAATTGTCAGTAAATGACCGAAAGATGATGAGCAATGCAACGGTTTTTGGCCTCAATAGTTGCAAAATGAGCAAATGATGCTTATTGTAGTCCATAACTGTCGTCCATAACAATTGTAAAACTGGGATTATAAAATCTAAGCCTAGCAGCTATTGAAGAGTTGCGAAATCTTAATGAGAAATCTTTCAGAATTCTGACGAATTTCCTAAGCATCATTTGCCCATTTAGCAACTATTGAGGTCAAAAACCGTTGCATTGCTCATCATCTTTCGGTCATTTACTGACAATTTTTGCGTTTTCTACTCAATTCTTTTGGTTTCACATAGCTTTGGACTGAAAAAAAAAGGAGGAATCAGTTTCTGGAGTTGCTTCATCGCTTTCCGCAGAGCTGTTCGGTGATCTAACAATGGTAAACAAAAATCTGACTGATTTTTGATGCATTTAAACTTCTCAAATACTTATTAGAGTTTTGGATTTAAGAACTGGATAGATGAGTTGAGTTTGAGATGATTTTTGAGTCTACGAAGAAAGATCTCCATTTGCAGCCTCGTTTCATTCGAATCCAATTCCAATTTCAATTCCAAAGACTGATTTTTGCCGCATTTAAACTTCTCGAATACTTATTAGAGTTTTGGATTTAAGAACTGGATAGATGAGTTGAGATTGAGAAGATTTTTGAGTCCACGAAGAAAGATCTCCATTTGCAGCCTCGTTTCATTCGAATCCAATTCCAATTCCAATTCCAAAGTGACTCACTCCAATCACAGCCATTTTTCTCCTTAAAAATTTCAAAAAAAGAAGCCGGATTATGGATGTTCTTCTCGATTTTTCTCATTTCAATCGACGTCCACCGCCCATTTGGTCGCATTTCCGGTGTGTGGGCACTAATATGTATAAAATGTCTTAAAGAATATCACAAATAGAATTATCATTTTTAAAGACAAAACACATCTATTTTCCCTCAATTCTAAACAATTTTGCTGGCTCTTCTTTTTCAGAAAATTCAATTTTAAATGAAAGTGACTCCCACGAGGCGTTTTCCACTTCTTCAACCTTTCAAAAACCCTTTTTTTTACGGGAAACTTTAAATATTTCAAAACTCAAAGAACTCAGAAATTGTTTTACTTTAAAGATTTACTTCACAGCTGTGCACTTTTCACTTGCAAACATTCACCTCCTAGTGCTTCCCAAGTTGCGATTGTATTTGGAATAAACTTACTTTACTTTGTGCTTAAAAGGGTAAACTTACCTCTTATAAAAAGTAGAAACGCACATCTTCTAGTGCACTTCATTTTCGCTTTCTTTAAAAAAAAAATGAAGTTTAATGCACTAGAAAAGGTGCTGTTTAAGTTAGTTTTTGAGCATAAAGTACACTCGGCTCGCTTAAACCATTTGCACACCACAAAACTAACTTTAGAGCTTTAATTCGACTGTAAATTGATAATTTTTTTTTTGAAATTAGCATTTTAGTTTAGTTTCCAATACATTCTTTCTTATGTAATCTATTTTTTTTTTTTTTTTTCACAAAATCTCTTCTAGGAAATGATTCGAAGCTCAAAAGTCGGTGTCACTCGTGTCAACCCGGGAAATCATGTCGAAAAAGTGGGGATTAACTTTTCTCATAGAAAACTCTTATCAAAAAAAGATTTTAAAAAGAATTTTCGAAACCTCTAGCAGCAAAAAGTTGAAACTTTGTCTAAAATGATTTAAATTTAAACTTTAAAACTTTTAGATGAGCTCAACTGATCGAAAGAATTCGACGACCAGTCGAGGGACAATTGGATCGTTTGCACAGGAATTAACACAAGGATTGAGATATACGAAGTAAATTATTGATAATAATTGATATGAATATTAGCTTTGTAAACTACTTACCGTAAATACTGTAATAGTACCCCACTCCCCTCGTACAGTCGCGTAGTCGCAAAAGTTTTTTAGTATTTTTTAGTATTTCATTTTTTTGCAAAGCACCCGTACTTTCAAAAAATGCGTCTTTGATATCAAAAAATAGCTGAAATTCAGGGCTATTTTTTGATACCTAAGCGCGCATTGTAGCATAGACCAATGTCGAGAAAAACTCGTTTAAAGCTAGACTACGCAACACTCCGCACCGTCATTATCTTTGGTATCAAAAAATAGCCCTGAATTTCAGCTATTTTTTGATACCTAAGCGAGCCTTGTAGCACAAACCAGTGTCGAGAAAAATGCGTTTAAAGCTAGACTACGCAACACTCCGCACCGTCATTATGGGGGTGGGGTACTATTACAGTATTTACGGTAATCAACTTTCAAGAGTGATCATTTTTAGAAAAGAACTTAAAGAGTATCGCCAACTCTTTGCAATGTTTGATACTGATGGATCGGGAGCAATTGGGAATCAGGAATTGAAACAAGTAAGGTTTTAAGTTAGTTTTCAAGTTAGCTTTTAAATAATCTTTATTATTTGATCTTTTCTTTTCAATCTTTTCTTTTCTATTTGATCTTTTCTTTTCAATAAATCCTTTTCCAGGCCATGATTAGTATTGGAATCTCAGCGAATGAAACAGAGATTGATAACATTATCAAAGAGGTAAGTGAAGTAATGTATAACAGAAGTTTTTCTATTTTTAAAGCCATAGAAGACTTAAATTCTTAAAATGAGTACAGTGAGAACTGTTTGGAAGCTAAGTTTTTAGGTTGATGCTGACGGAAATGGTGAAATCGATTTCGAAGAATTCTGTGCTTGTATGAAGAAATCGCAAACGATAGCCCGATCAACGAATGAGGAGTTGATTCGAGTCAGTTTTCAAGGAAATTAACTATTCAACTATTAGCTGAAAATCAAGCGATTCAACATCACATCAACTGTTTCAGGAATGCTTTCAAATCTTCGATCTTGATCAAAATGGAGTGATTAGTGAGGACGAGTTTAAGGTAGGAAATTTGATTCTAGGTAGATCTAGATTCTAGATAGATCTAGATTTTAGGTAGATCTAGATTCTAGATAGATCTAGATTTTAGGTAGATCTAGATTCTAGGTGGATCTAGATTCTAGGTGGATCTAGATTCTAGATAGATCTAGATTTTAGGTAGATCTAGATTCTAGATAGATCTAGATTCTAGGTGGATCTAGATTCTAGATAGATCTAGATTTTAGGTAGATCTAGATTCTAGATAGATCTAGATTCTAGGTGGATCTAGATTCTAGATAGATCTAGATTTTAGGTAGATCTAGATTCTAGATATATCTAGATTCTAGGTGGATCTAGATTCTAGGTGGATCAAAGAAAATGAAATTTGTACCTCAACTTCTAGATTTTCTTCATTTCCCATATCCACTTTTAAAATTGTTTATATTCCCAATTTAGTACATTGCAAAAGAAGTCGGCAACTTCGATGATGAGTTAGCGGAAAAGGTGTGTTACTGTTTTGAGATAAAAAAGTACATTTATTCACACGAATTTTGGTACAAATATTGCAAAAACACAACCTTTAAGCCTTAGATTTCTTTCCTAATGTAGGAAAGAAAAAACCTCTATATACAGGAAAAAAAGAGTCAATAATCTAGCAAGGCTTGAATCCTTGACTAAGAAATTGGCCTCTTAGCCAGTCGGTCATGGATAAGATAAGTTTAAAACATTGAATATACCTAATAATATCAATCTGTTCAATTCAAAAGCCCAATTTCTTTAGGTTTTCCGCGAATTGGACATCTCCTCGAATGGCCATTTGACCGGTGATCAATTCGCGAGTATTGTCGAGGATTATCTCTTGAATGATAACAATCGACCGGCTGATGCTCATATATAAATGTAAATAAATGATATCGGTTTATATTAAAATCATTTATTCAAATGCTTTCATCAGCAAAACATTTCACAAGATCTCCCTCCGCCAATGAGTCACCGATTTCACAGCCGACTTGTCGTAGATAGATTCCGAAAGTCATCTGGAATTTTGTATTTGAAATTTTGAAATCTTAAACAAACTATTAGTACATTAGATTAAAAAGATATTACGTTAATGCATAATTTTTTACAAATTTTTTTCTAAACCTCTTTTAAAAACTAATACCGCCATCAACAAAATTTCTATTTGAAATATTAAAAAGATTAATTGTTTCTCTGCAAAATAGCTTTTAAGAAATTCTTGAAAATGGTTGTTTTTGTGGATTTTCAAAGGCACAAAAGTACCCAAAACTGCTGCGATACTAAAGTCGAAATTTTGACACTTTCTTCAACACAAACCTATTTTAATGCGAAAGTAAAAAAGATAGAGCTTATGTGATTACATAAGTCTGTAAAATTTGAAAACGATCCGTTCAGCCATTTTCTTATATTTTGGGTGTTTTGAATTTTCAAATACACAAAGGCGAGTACCCAAAACTGTACTGAAACCGTTCTCTCTATTGAAATCGAAATCTGGGCACTTTCTTCAACACAAACCTATTTTAATGCGAAAGTAAAAAAGATAGAGCTTATTTGATTACATAAGTCTGTAAAATTTGAAAACGATCCGTTCAGCCATTGTCTTTAAAACAGTAATCAAACATTTTACACAAAAAAAGCGTTTTTACCAAGTTGAGACGAGCTTTGAGCTTTCTCTTAAAAGCCATTTTTGTAGAGAAATTTTCTTTTTTAATAGTTTAAAACATAACAAATTTGGTAAAGGATTTGAAAAGTTTGAAAAGTTTGAAAAAAAAATGTTAAGGATTTAAGCACCAAACCTACCGTAAAAACTCTAATATAACGGCGCCCTATAGGAGCGTCGTGTAGTCTAAATTTACTCTCAAACAAACGCTCATATCTTGACACCAGTACGTGTATTTCTGCGCGCTTGGGTATCAAATTAAAGTAGAGATGTTGGGTAATCTTTTAAGATATAACACATATTTTTAACATTAACCAGCGCGTAGAAAAAAAATAATTGAAAATCGGCGAAAATCGGCTCTTTTTTGCCACTTTTCAATCATTTTTTTCTAAGCGCTGGTTAATTTTAAAAATATGTGTTATATCTTAAAAGATTACCCAACATCTCTACTTTAATTTGATACTCAAGCGCGCAGAAACAAATTTACTAGTGTCAAGATATGAGCGTTTGTTTGAGAGTAGACTTAGACTACACGATGCTCCTATAGGGGGCAGTTCTATTAGAGTTTTTACGGTAATAGTTTCCTATTGACTAAAGAATTCTGAAAATCGATTTATGGAAAGTTATGCACAATTGAGATTTGATTAGAACTTGATTGTTTATTTAAGCTTTTTAAGACTTTTAAAGTTTTAAACTTTTAAAGTTTTAAAGCTTTTAACTTTTAAGCTTTTAAACTTCTAAACCCTTAAAACTTTACTTATTAAACATTTACTAATTAGGATTACTGTTTTTAAAAGCCAAATAGTTAACCCTTTGTCGATTTCGATAATTTCTCAACGCCACAATGAGTGCCGGATCTTTCTCGCCGGTTTCCGGATCAGCGCAAATCATCTCGCAACGAGTGCATTTACCAGTAACCTAGAATTCTTCTTATGTACTTTCATTAATAAGATATTCATAAGATACATGAAAGAATTTTATTCTGATCAAAAGCAAGCCTCGTTACTTGTTTCTTCGTCTCAGTCTTTACCAATTCAAATGTTTTATTTATTTATCCATGATCAGATATGATATCATTCTTGTAGTTTTTGATTTAACAATTCTAATTTCCAATCACTTTTCTTACCTCAAACTTATGATTTCCGAGAAGAATTTTTTGAAGACTATCTTCGAGAAAAGCGGGCAATCCAGAAATGACAATATTTGGCCGGAAACGTCGAATTATTTCTTCTCGACTTAAAGAAATTTGATCGGCGAGAATCTGGAACATTTTTTCTATAAAAGCTTTTAAAACTTTTAAACTTTTAAAAACTGACCTGAGCAGACGCCTCGTTGATCAAGAGAAATGGAGATTCGTTCGAGAGACTGCGTTGAGAATCTAAAGTTTGTTGTTAAAGTTTAAAATGATAGCAAAGGTTTGGAAATTTGTACGCTCTACTTTTCATTGAAAGACTATGAAATGTCCGATGGTCTGATAAAATAGTGAGTTTATGTTCATCTCACAAACCATATGTAACAAGATACTCACTCTACACAAACTACACATCTCACAAGTCATTTTATGTTCATCTCATAAACTACACATGTAACAAGATACTCTACACTTTACACAAACTACACAAACTACACGTCTCACAAGTCAGTTTATGTTCATCTCACAAACTACACATGTAACAAGATACTCTACACTTTACACACACACACACCTAACACAGATTATCCAATTCCTACGCTCTACATTTCACCGAAAGACTAACCATCTTCTGCTCGTAACAATCGACAATTGGGCATCTCGAGGACTTGTGAAAGCCAGCGACTCACTTCATCTCCACAATCGTATGTACCAACACTAAAAACGGTGGTTACTCTAGACTCAAGCCACGTCAAGTACTGCAATGTTTTCTTAAACGTGAAACTTTTATGAAGTAAGTTGTTAAAATCTTCTACTTGATACTTTAAAACTATATTGAACAATGATTTTTTTGATATTTTAAAAGAAAACTCTTACCGATCTTCACAAACAATCGTTTTGTTTATGAAGATCAACAAAAACAACAAACGATCGTGAATGAAACCAGAAGGAGAGAGATCGATAAAAAGAAAACTCTTACCGATCTTCACAAACAATCGTTTTTTGAGATGAAGAGGTTGATTCCATTGAAAGCGATATAGATTTCTCGGCTGTAAACAACTCAAGCGTTTGTCCACTGTTCTAGAATTTCTTTCTACTATAAAGACAAAGATTTAAGCAAAACCTTTGTATACAATCTAGCCATACTTGGATTCTTCTTGAGAGTCAATGTGACTCCGAGACTTTGAACAAGAAATCGACGATCATGAATGAAACCAGAAGGAGAGAGATCGGCCCTAAAACTTTGTATAAAGTTTAAAACGAAATATGAATATTATAAAATAGAAGGTGTTAACCTTTTTGTGCAAACTCCATGCCCTGATTTAACTGGATAATAGAATAAATGGGAAATGTGTGGCCGGAAATCGGCTAGTGAATGAGTGCGGTGCTCGTCTTGAGGAGTTGGCAGATTTCCTAGGAAACAGCAATCAAGCACTTGTTCAAAGAGATTCACATCCTAAATTCTATTCTTGATTTCAGAATTTGATTACTTACCGTAAATACTGTAATAGTACCCCAGCCCCATAATGACGGTGCGGAGTGTTGTGTAGTCTAGCTTTGAACGAGTTTTTCTCGACACTGGTTTAAGCTACAATGTGCGCATAGGTATCAAAAAATAGCTGAAATTCAGGGCTATCTTTTGATACCTATGCGCGCATTGTAGCCTAAACCAGTGTCGAGAAAAACTCGTTCAAAGCTAGACTACGCAACACTCCGCACCGTCATTATCTTTGGTATCAAAAAATAGCCCTGAATTTCAGCTATTTTTTGATACCTAAGCCCGCATTGTAGCATAAACCAGTGTCGAGAAAAACTCGTTAAAAGCTAGACTACACAACGCTCCGCAGCGTCATTATCTTTGGCAGCAAAAATGTGTCTTTGGTATCAAAAAATAGCCCTGAATTTCAGCTATTTTTTGATACCAAAGAAACATTTTTTGAAAGTACGGGCGCTTTGAAAAAAATGAAATACTAAAAAATACTAAAAACACTTTTGCGACTACGCGACTGTACGAGGGGCGTGGGGTACTATTACAGTATTTACGGTATATATAGAGATAGAATAAATAGGTACCTCAATCAAAGAAAATCTTCCAAACGAGATCCGAACAGCGCCTAGCGGTTTCCCATTGTGAACATCCATTTCATCACCGCATTTTTTACCACTCTACAACTTTCTATTTACTTATAAATAGTAAATTTTAACATAATTTAACATTTCTTACAGTAATCGAGTTTTTAAAGCATTAAAATTCTATAGTAAAAAGTTCTGACCAGAAAGTTCAAATGCAAATCCTCAGCCGTGATCCCAAGATGTTCCATACAAGCTCCTGAAATGTTTAGATTCAGATTTCTAAATCTAAAACTTAAAATAGATCTATTTTCCTTTGTACACACAAAAGTGACAAAGTAGTTAAAGCAATAAACAGCTACAAATAGAGTGTGCTCCTTTCGACTAATGCACCTATTTGAGAAAACCATCGTAGTCAAACTGCAAATTTACATCCATATCAGCTCAATTTTGGTATTATTTGATGAGGAATTACAAGGCTCTTGCTGTTTATTGATTTAACTACTTTGGCACTCTAGTTACAAAGCCGAGATGCTCCATACAAGCTCCTGAAATCTTAAGATTCAGATTTCTAAATCTAAAACTTAAAATAGATCTATTTTCCTTTGTACACAAAAAAGTGACAAAGTAGTTAAGTCAATAAACATTTAGTTTAGTCGAAAGGAAAACACTCTAGTTACAAACCTATATTGCAAAAACATCCCGTTCTAACGAGAACTCCAAAGAGACCACACATCTTCTCAACCTGAACTTAAAACTTTAATTTTAAAGATATTCAGTTAACCTCATTGTACCCAATAAAAGTACCATCATCTCGTAATAAATTGAAAGTGATTAATGGACCATAATGCTTTGTATCATGTCCATAAACAATCACCAAAGGTTTCCCATTCCAATGGTGTTTTGATTTAAGCATTTTATAAGCTTCTTTCAAAATCTTTTCTCCATTCTCGTTTACACTTTTAATTGAACCGAAAAACTTTTGATTTGAAATGATTAAATTACATTTACCTGATGCATTGAATTCAATAAAAGCCTCTCTTAAAGCAGCTATTGAGTAATAGTTGATTGTACCGTCTTCGAATCTGAAAATCTCATTTTGATCTCAAAGTTGAACAAGGTTATTTGTTCTAAAAGCAATTTACCGTATTCTCTCTAATAGTAGTGCGCATTACTATTTTCTTTCAACCACCTCCTGGACCGCAATTATTAGAGATACTATTAGAGAGAATACGGTAAGCCTGATCAAGAGAATCAAGCCTGATCTTTCCTGATAGTTTGACTTCTAATCTTGTTCTGATTCAAGTGAGACAATGTACTGTATTCCCTAATAGTATTGCGGTCCAGGTGGTTGAAAAAAATAGTAGTACACAATACTATTAGAGAGAATACGGCACATTGTCTCACTTGAATCAGAACAAGATTAGAAGTCAAACTATCAGGCAAGTTCAGGCTTGATTCTCTTGATCAGGCTTTAACCTGGATCCTTTGGAAGCCATGGCTTACAAAATTAACTTTAGATTTATAAAATGAACCTTTCACTAATCTCATCTCTTTGATGTGATGTAAACGAGAATGGATCAGCCATTGCTAGTGTTCCACCAGAAAAATAAACCTTCTTTAAACGATTTTGAGCCTTTTTGAATCAACAAACAGCCGAGTCCTTTAAAGATTTAAAGATTTAAACTTTATTCTGAAAATTAAACCTGTTGGGTAACCAAATATTTTATAGAAAGACATAATGACGAAATGTGGTTGGATTTTGGAGAGATCCAAAGGAGAAGTGGACAAGTAAGCGGCAGCGTCAAGGCAGACACTAAAACCTGAAAGAATAGTGATCATATCAGATAAGAATTCAGTTTTAAAATAAGTCACTTTTAGAGAACGATAGCTTTCATATCATTTGGACAAGTTGTTAAAGCTAGTTATGGTAAGTTTGGCTATGCTTTGGTGGATTGGTTCTCTAAGTCTTGAGCCTACCTTTGTCTTGCAACTTCTTCACATTTTCTAGTGGATATTTTCTGCCAGAGAAGTTGCTCATCGCTGTATAAATGAAGAGACCATTGGAGATTGGTGGAAGATTAGACCAATCAACGCTGAAAATCGATAGAGTACTGTTGCTTTGTCAGGCTTAGAATCGTGTACATTAGATAAGTTCAAGATTAAACTATGTACACAAGTAGTGTTGCTTGTAGCTGTGTTTTGTTGGTTTAGAAATCTAATCGAATTACCGAAATGTCTAACTAAAGCCTAGTCTAGCTTTTCTTTCTTTTGACTATTTATATTGGATTGGTGAATTGAAAACTGCGGGTTATTGTCATATGTGACAGTTTGAGCACTTTCTTCAAAAGAAACCCATTTTGGTATCAATGGAAAAGTTGTAGAGAATCAAAAATCAAGCTTATATCCAAATTTTCAGAACGATTCAAAAACCGGTTTTCAAGAAATGCGAAATTTACGAAACTTTCACAAAACTTGCATTTTAAGCGAAACTACTAAGTGTATCTTTTTGGAAATTTGGCTATAAGCCTAATTTTTGATTCTCTACAACTTTTCTATTGACACCAAAATGGGTTTCTTTTGAAGAAAGTGCTCAAACTGGGACATTGGACTCCAGTCCTCCATTTTTGAGTCTCATACTTGTCTCACACACAAACCAAAATCCTACTACGAAAGAGGAATCCGCAAATTGCCTGTAAAATGGGCAGAAGTCGTCAATAATAATGGAAATTATTTCGAATGAATTCATGGTTTTATGTTGAATCAATTTTAGTTCAAAGTCTCGCAGTTTACCAAACCCAATACATCAAAAATACGACGAATCTGTCTAAAGTTTTCTAGTAGGTTTGAAGCGGCAACTTTCCCTTGCAAAGAAAGGAATGAACGCCTTTCACTAGAGCAATTAAATACTACAAGAAAAAGGCTGATGATGGCACGAATTTTTTTGGGATATTCTAAAGACTGTATATGGAATTGCTTGAGGGATATAGCGAAGTACAGCCTCCACTTCCACAAAAGTCTTCGGTAATTATGTAATTATAAGTCCTGCAGTTTTCAATTCACCAACCCAATAGTAAAAGGTGAGCAGGAAATGCGTAAAATGTTTGTGCAACGGTCATTCGAAACTTGTGCTAAAGTTATTTTCCATAGGTTTAAATGCTATATTAATGAAACTCAACAGTCTTTACATTCTTGACAATCAACGTGGCACTCTCAAAACTAGACTTGTAACGAAAACCTCTGTCAGCTCTTTTTACCGTTAACAATTGAAGGTATTTGTTTTTTTGTTTTTCTCAGCACCAACCATCAAACCAAAAACATTCTTTACTATAAAAAAATTTCATAATAGAAGTCACAAACTTTGAAATGAAAAAAGAAAAAAAGCATTTATTTCGTAGATTTCTGTTAGTCGTCAACCCTTTTCATAGTTGAAATCAGAAAATTTTTTACAAAAGTGTTTTAGGAAAATTTTTGAATGCTATTTTGAAGTGTTAAGATTTTTCTATAAAATAAGCCATAAAGCGAAGAAATAACTTCAAAAATAAAAGATTTCCAAGGGATTTCACGGTGGAAAATCGGAGTTGTTAATTTTAGAGTAAAGCCTTGACACCATTGAAAGAATCGTATAAGAAAGAAATTTTTCAAAGTTAATTTCGGTCTAGAAAAATAAATGTTCTAGAGTAAAAATATGCGAATTTTCCGAAATTAAAGTTAATTTGAAGAATTAACGCTTGTGACGCTTGGAAAAATGATTGTTTACGAAATTTCACGGATTTTCTGGTCACCCTCTATAAAATAGTAAAGGAATTAGCCAAGAAAAGTAGATTTTCGGAGAAGGGATTGAACTCTCAACCTTTTTCCTTACCAAGTAGATGTTCAAACCACTGAGCTATCAAGTATCTTTTTTGCTAGAGAAGGAAGAGGAAATCTTCATTAAATTTGGCTATAGAAAAGTAGAATTTGTTTTGTAGACTTACCGATAAAAATATAGAGAAATGATAAAAACATAGATTTGCTAGCAGAGGGTTTGCTAGCATTGGGTTTGCTAGCAGAAGGTCTGCTAGCAGAGGGTTTGCTAGCAGAGGGTTTGCTAGCAGAAGGTCTGCTAGCAGAGGGTTTGCTAGCAGAGGGTTTGCTAGCAGAAAATCTGCTGGCAAAGGGTTTGCTAGCAAAAGGGTCTCTTTACAACTGTGAGGGTCCAATCCTACTTCAAGATCAGCACACAGGCATTCGTAATAAAGTAAAATCATCTCAAACCAACCTATCATATTTCAAACAAGCCACATTTTTCACTTTGTTTCGAACGATCTCTCGAAGTCCCATCACAGAATTGTGTGAGTCACTGAGATAACAAAAAACTGGTCCTAAGCTGCTCCTTTCTTTTACAAGTTTCAACTGAAAATAAACCTTTTTCTGGCAATGTGTCACTGATGATTTCACATTTTTCTTGAATAACTCCGAAATCAAAATTGTTAGCAATGATTTGTAAGGAATGAGTGGCATTTGAAGTGAAGATTACATCATAATCCTCGGTGTTGAAATATTCCAAAATTCTGAATTGATCAATTTTTGATAAACATGAATCTGATAGACAAGATAAACATGAATCTTATTGTCTTATTGTATTGAAAAACTCTTATTAGGTATGTAGAAAAGTTTCTTTAATAAACTCGCCTCAAACGAGTCTCCTCAACGATTTGACGGGTCGACAAAGCGGTTGTGTGTCTAAAGTAAGTAAAATTCTGAGTTTCATTGTACAGAAAATTCTTTCTTACAATCCTTAAAGAAGATGGATCAAGTTTCAAATGATAAAGAGGTTGATTGGACTAACCAAGCCTGAGAAAATCGAGAGAGAATCGAGACAAACTCTGCAGACTTTGTTCTCTCAGTTTTATAGAAGATTTAAAGCCCGTCCAAAAAGGTAGACCAATTGATAGACTTAATAAAATGAATAGCTTTAATCGATTCCCCGACCTCGAAAACCCCCGGATACAAATTTACAGCTAAATATCTTTTTGTAACATCTGCAAAGCAAAGGGAAATCCCTGGTAAATGACGGGCGTTAAAAATGTTCTTTGTGTGCGCACACAATCGCTCGTCATCTGGCACAAGCCCCCATTAGATATGTCCCTTTCCGAACCCGGTCTTTAAGTGTCCCTTTGCTCAAATCTTTGGGATCAATTTTTGCGTTAAATTTGGCTGAATTCTTGCTAGAATAGAATTTGGCTGAATTCTCTGCATCCTGTCCCACCTAAATCACTAGCTAAACTTGTGGAAAACAATGCGATCTGACCCGAGAGCCTTATCCCCCGGAATCTGTTAGAGCTGTTTGGTTTGTGTGGCTCCAATCAGACAGCAAAAGTTTTTTTGAAATCACCTGGAGTGCGGATTTGCCAGAGTCATCGTTCGAAGCTGTTCAGCCACATTTTCGAGGAGTTTTGGTGATGGAACACCAGCTCCCGCATAGTCCAAATAGGCCATTAGTCAATGTGAAATCTTTAGAAATAAATAAAGCTCAACACTTCAGAAATTCAAATAGAAAAGAGATCTTCAGACTTTTTTCGTTTCCAAGTCTCTTATCAGCACTGATTCCAAAGCCGACTGTGAGAAAACTTTCTGAAATTTATGAAATCCAAAAAAAAAAAGATACTCAAAAGCTAAGACAATTCAATGATAAAAGTTAATTTTAACAATATTTCTCGTTTAAAAATGAGGAATGTAACCATGAAATGAAATGATTTTTCACTAGAAACTAGAAAGTTTTAAGTAAACATTTTCAAAAAAAGAAAGAGAAAAAGGGGGAAAAGGGAACAGTCAATATTCAGCACGGAGTATTATTGTTTTCCCCCAAAAAGAAAGAGAAAAGAGTGCACGGAACAGTGCATTCAATCGATTTCTATCAAAAACTAATTATTTTTCATTGGTTTGCCTTTACTATAAATTTTTAGTGTTTAAAGTTTAGTTGTCATCATTTTGTCCAAAAAGAATTCTTTCATTGACTATTATTTTTGGATTAAAAAGACCGGTTTACTGTTTTGTTTTGATTGTTTCGGTTTTAGATTTGATGATTAGTTTTTGATTAGATGATTACATTTAGATTAGATTAGGTGTTAGCTTAGATGATTAGTTTTAGAGTAGATTAGCTTTTAGATTAAATTGGGTTTAGATTCGATGATTACATTTAGAATAGATTAGCTTTTAGATTTGATGGTTAGATTTAGATTAGGTTAGCTTTTAGATTAGATTGTGTTTTAGATTTGATGATTAGATTTAGATTAGATTAGGTGTTAGCTTAGATGATTAGTTTTAGACTAGATTAGCTTTTAGATTAGATTGGGTTTAGACTAGATGATTAGATTGGATTTTAGTGTTTAGATTAGATGATTAGATTTAGACTAGATTAGCTTTTAGATTTGATGATTAGTTTTAGATTAGATTAGATTTTGATTAGATGATTACATTTAGCTTAGATTGGGTTTAGATTAGATAATTAGATTTAGATTAGATGATTAGATTTAGACTAGATTAGCTTTTAGTTTAGATGATTACATTTAGATTAGGTTGGGTTTAGATTAGATGATTAGATTTAGATTAGATGATTTGCTTTACCCTAGATTAGCTTTTAGATTAGATGATTACATTTAGATTAGATTAGGTGTTAGATTAGATGATTAGATTTGCTAGTTGGGGTTGATTAGTGTTTAGATTAGATGATTAGTTTTAGACTAGACTAACTTTTAGTTTAGATGATTTGCTTTACCCTAGATTAGCTTTTAGATTAGATGATTACATTTAGATTAGTTTAGGTTGGGTTGGGTTTAGATTTGATGATTAGATTTAGACTAGATTAGCTTTTAGATTTGATGATTAGGTTTAGATTAGATGTTTACATTTAGCTTAGATTGGGTTTAGATTAGATGATTAGATTTAGATTAGATTAGGTGTTAGATTAGATAATTAGATTTAGATTAGATGATTAGTTTTAGACTAGACTAACTTTTAGTTTAGATGATTTGTTTTACCCTAGATTAGCTTTTAGATTAGATCATTACATTTAGATTAGATTAGGTTTTAATTTACACACTCAATTTAGATTTATGATTTGTTAATATAAATGCAAATTCTAAATCCGAATCTCTCCTAATTCGATTAAGATTTTTTCATCTTTCAATACAGAAAAGTCCATGTAAGTCTATAAAGGCTAGATTTTTAGTGTTTTAACGAAACCTCTCAATCTATGTTTAGCCGATTTTTAGTGTTTTTCTAATTTTTATTTACAATTATTGTGATTTGATTGTTTTTTCAATTTTGGTTGACATTATAGTTAGAGATAGTTGATCTTTTGGTTTCGTCTTGCTTTGAAAACAGTTTCACCTCTATTATCACACCGCCTTTCATCCAAACAATCAAAGGTCAAGCATCCCAACTGTATTTGATATTTTGATCTTTGTAATTTCTAGTATTTCAATGATAGATGCCTTAAAAACGAAGCCTTATTGGGGTAAACTTTGCTCAAAGTGAAGTAACTTAACACTATCAAAACTAGATTTGTAACGAAAACATCGGTCGGTTCTTTTTACCGTTAACAATTGAAGCTTTTTTTTCGTCTTTTTCTCAGCACCAACCCTTTGATTTTGACTATTTTGACTATGATTCGATGTAGAATAAAATTGCGATACCAAAACTAATTTCAAAATGTAATATCCATGGAAAGTTGTTGGCTAAAAACTTAAATCTCGTTCATAATGAACCAGAGTGAATCTTTTCCCTTATATCTTTTCATGGATATTAAATTTTGAGTTATTTTTAGTATTGCTATTTTGATATTTTGATATACCGTATTTTCTCTAATAGTAGTGCCCACATCGAGCCGAGTTGATGACTATTTTACGGTTTCCTAGCTTTTGCAGAAGCTCAACACTCAAATCCCCCACAAGATCTCATCGTCAGCTACATTTTCCGACCCTACATTGATAGCTTCTGATAAGCGGTTCTCGAGATTACGAGCAATTTAGGCAAACGGCGCGCTACTATTAGGGAAAATATAGATATAGGTTATCACATTCAATATATACCGTATTTTCTCTAATAGTAGTGCACTCCGGCGAGCCGAGTTGATGACTATTTTACGGTTTCCAAGCTTTTGCAGAAGCTCAACACTCAAATCCCCCACAAGATCTCATCGTCAGCTACATTTTCCGACCCCACATCGATAGGTTCTGATAAGCGGTTTTCGAGATTTCGAGTAATTTAGACAACGCTCACAGTGCACTATTATTAGAGAAAATACAGTAGTTTAGTTTATCTAGTTTTCAAGAGGAGATTCAAGGCTATTGAATGATTAGAATACCGTATTCTCTCTAATAGTAGTGCACCTCGCCGAGTTGGTGACAATTTTACGGTTTCCAAGCTTTTGCAGAAGCTCAACACTCAAATCCCCCACTAGATCTCATCGTCAGCTTCATTTTCAGACCCCACATCGAAAGGTTCTGATAGGTGGTTCTCGAGATTTCGGGCAATTTAAATGACGCTCACGGTGCACTACTATTAGAGAAAATACGGTAATTTATTATCAGATAAAGTAAACGAATTTTCTTCCAATTCAGTTTTGTTTTAGGTGAATTCTCTATTTCACTATGATTTCCTAGACATTTTCTATACATTTCTATACCTTTTCTACCGTTATTTTGCTCTCACCCAATCATAAATACAAAAAAGATCAACCGATAAGCCGATTCGCAATTCCCCCAGCTGATCGATTGATGATCCCAGGGAAATTCCTTGAAAACCACATGAACTTTGGAGGCAATTCTCTCGAATGTAAATGTCCCATCAAAACAATTTCTTTCTTTCTATTTCTTTTTCTTTTTCTTATCTCTTCCCCATTATCTGTCACCTCTTAATTTCCCTTTTCTTTTCCCAATCCGATCCCTATCTGCCCATCTTTGGGAGTTCAGCCTTGAACTCTAACCTTCTTTTTTTCTCTCCAAACTTCTCTAGATCTCTTTTCTATTCTATCAACATCAAACAAACATCTCTTTTCTCAATTTTTTTTTCTTGAAATCGGATAAACTGTAATTTCAGCGTTGATCTTTGGTTTTAAAAGTATAAAATGATTTATTCAACTACTCCAAACAATACAGAATACAAATAGAAATTCTATTGAAACTTTAAACTAAACAAAAACAGCTTTAAAAGCTTTAAAAGATCAAATAACCATAATTTTTTCCTTTTTCTACTTTTATTTTGCAAAATAGAGTTAAATTTTTGAGAATTAACAAATTTTGACAATTTTTCCTTAAAAAATCTCATGTTTTAATCCATTTTTTAAACAAAAATATCTCTTTTACTCTTTTTTTTTCTTTTAATTCTTAAACTTTTATTATTTTAAAAGCAAATTTAATCTTTTAAATCCTTTTTAGGGAATGGCCAAGTTAATCAGCGGAAGTGAATACTCGCAGAAAGTGCTACAAGAGGTTTGATCTAATTTTTTTTTTATTGAAAATGTTAATCAATTTATTCAGATGCCCATTTTTGTTCACTTTTTGAATTGAGCTCAATTCATTACAAATTTATGGCCATTCTAAATACGTAATGAGGCAAAAAAAAAGGGAAATTTAGGTGGCCGAGAAATTGAAAGAAACGAAAGAGAAAAATCCGACTTTTCAAGCTTGTTTAGCGATTGTACAGGTGAGGAAATAATTACAATTGTTTACAGATATACGCAGAGTTTACAGATATTACAGATAAGCAGAGACAGACACAGCTCTTTCAGCTCTTTCTATATACCGTATTCTCTCTAATAGTAGTGCACCCCGCCGAGTTGATGACTATTTTACGGCTTCCAAAACTTTCACAGAAGCTCAACACTCTAATACCCACTAGATCTCATCGTCAGCTACATTTTCCGACCCCACATCGATAGGTTCTGATAAGCGGTTTTTGAGATTTCAAGGAATTTAAATGACGATCAAGGTGCACTACTATTAGAGAAAATTGCAATTGTTTACAGATATACGCAGAGTTTACAGATATTACAGATATGCAGAGATAGATACAGCTCTTTCTATATACCGTATTTTCTCTAATAGTAGTGCACCCCGGCGAGTTGATGACTATTTTACGGCTTCCAAAACTTTCACAGAAGCTCAACACTCTAATACCCACTAGATCTCATCGTCAGCTACATTTCCCGACCCCACATCGATAGGGTCTGATAAGCGGTTTTTGAGATTTCGAGCGATTTAGGCAACGCTCTGGGTGCACTACTATTAAAGAGAATACGCTATTGAATTAGCTTAAAACTTTAGAAGTTATTATTTAAAATCTCAATTTCAGGTGGGAAATAGATCCGACTCAAATGTCTACATTGGGGCAAAACTGAAAAAAGCCGCTGAAATTGGAGCTGAAGGTTGAATTTTTTAAAATATTCATTGTGTATTTTCTATTTTTTTAAAACTAATCCAATAAACCCATCTCTTTTACTCAATTACTTTACTCGACTTTGTTTAGGTAAACTGATCAAATTGCCCGAAACGATTACCCAAGGAGAGTTGGAGGCTGAGATCGACAAGTTGAACAACGATGACAATGTTGATGGGATTATTGTTCAGGTCGACAAGAAGACCAGCTATCTTCTAGATATTCTACTTAAGAATTATTTAACTTATTGTAAAATTCTTTACTTTAGCTTTTCAGCTACCACTTGATACCGTAAATGAAATTGATGCCGATTCCGTTGTGGACAGGATTCATCCATTGAAAGTTTGTTTAAATTTTCTTACAAATCTTAAGCTAAACAATTAAACAGTTACCGTATTTTCTCTAATAGTGGTGCCCGCGTCGAGCCGAGTTGATGACTATTTTAATGTTTCCAAGCTTTTGCAGAAGCTCAACACTCAAATCCCACACAAGATCTCATCGTCAGCTACATTTTCCGACCCTACATTGATAGCTTCTGATAAGCGGTTCTCGAGATTTCGAGTAATTTAAATGACGATCAAGGTGCACTACTATTAGAGAAAATACGGTAGTTTAGTTTATCTAGCTTTCAAGAGGAGATTCAAGGCTATTGAATGATTAGAATATCGTATTCTCTCTAATAGTAGTGCACCCCGCCGAGTTGATGATTATTTTACGGTTTCCAAGCTTTTGCAGAAGCTCAACACTTAAATCCCCCACTAGACCTTATCGTCAGCTACATTTTCCGACCCCACATCGATAGGTTCTGATAAGCGGTTTTTGAGATTTCGAGGAATTTAGGCAACGCTCACAGTGCACTACTATTAGAGAAAATACGATAATTCAGAATTCCATAGCAAATGTGGTTATAAAACTAAACAAAAAACAAATAAAACATTTGATTAACAAATGTTAAAGGGAAATTTTCGAGGCTAAGGTATCTATTCAGAAACTAAAGGAAAATTACATAAATTTCTTGCTTTTTAATGTAAATCTCATTGTTCTCTACTAATTCGCATTTCCAGGATGTCGATGGATTGACTCGTGAAAACGCTGGAAGACTTTTTCGAGGCGAGCTCGACAAGACGATTTTCCCGTGTACTCCATTTGGCTGTCTCTACTTGGTTCAACAAGTCACTGGTAGATCTCAAATCACTAATCCTCTAACGTTATTTTCTAAATACAAATTTTATTCAACTAATCATTTACAGGTGATTTGAATTTTGTTGCCGGGAAAAACGTGGTTGTGTTAGGGAGATCGAAAATTGTTGGCTCACCAGCAGCTTCGTTGTTCATGTAGGTATTAGTTTAAAAATCTTCAAATCTATTTTCAACTATTCTAAACTCTAAACTACTCTAAACTCATTCTCATTCAACTCTATTTTCAATTACTCTAAACTCTAAACAATTCTAAATTCTAATTTAGGTGGCATCACGGTACTACCACAATTTGCCATTCGAAAACACAAAACGTTAAAGAACAATGTTTAAAAGCGGACATTTTGATCGTAGCTATTGGAAGAAAACATTATGTTAAAGGTAAAAAGAAGCTGAAAAATTGTAATAGAATTAAAGAATGATTCGTTTAAGGTGATTGGAGTGTTTAAGGTTATTATTTAGGTGATTGGATAAAGCCGGGAGCTGTGGTGATCGATTGTGGAATCAATGTTGAAGAGGCCACTGAACCCGGGAAGAAGAATCGACTTTTTGGTGATGTGGACACAGAGGCGGCTAAACAGGTTTAGAAAAACGATTCAACGTTCACTGACTCTCAGCTTTGAATAGCTGATTTGCTTGGCTTTCTAGAGGAACAATTAAAGAATAGAAAACGCTATTGCACAAGTTTTTATGTCAATTTTAGAAGTGATCATTTTGATTACAGTTTTCCAAACAAAATCGCAATCAAATTAACATTTAATCTTATGAAAATGAAGAATTGCAGCTGCAAAAAAAAAGCATTTGAAGCTTTTTCTATGATTTTCAACAAAATTTCTCTAATAATCTCACAAAATAACAACTTTAAATCCTTCCAATGATTACAATATTATGTCTTATATTTTGACTTACCGTAAAGACTGTAATAGTACCCCACTCCCGTCGTACAGTCTCGTAGTCGCAAAAGTTTTTCGGTCATTTTTAGTATTTCATTTTTTTCAAAGCGCCCGTACTTTCAAAAAATGCGTCTTTGGTATCAAAAAATAGCTGAAATTCAGGCCTATTTTTTGATACCTAAGCGCACATTGTAGCATAAACCAGTGTCGAGAAAAACTCGTTCAAAGCTAGACTACGCAACACCCCGCACCGTCATCATCTTTGGCATCAAAAAAAGCGTCTTTAGTATCAAAAAATAGTCCTGAATTTCAGCTATTTTTCGATACCTAAGCGCCCATTGTAGCATAAGCCAGTGTCGAGAAAAACTCGTTCAAAGCTAGACTACGCAACGCTCCGCACCGTCATTATGGGGCCGGGGTACTATTACAGTATTTACGGTAAGTCAAAATATAAGACATAATATTGTAATCAATATGCTAATTGAGTCTGTTGAATTGAATATTATCAAGGAAACTTATCAAATCTGATCAAATTTAGGTTGCTGGCTACATAACGCCAGTCCCTGGTGGAGTTGGTCCGATGACAGTAGCGATGTTAATCCGAAACACTGTTGAGCAAGCGATTAGAAGGAAATTAAGTGGAGGACAGGTAAGGAAAGCTTTTAAGAGATTACGAAAGATTTACTGTAATCCAAATCGAATTTCAGGGAGGAAACTGGCCGATTACTTATCTCAAGCCAAAACTCGTCACCCCAGTTCCATCAGATATTGCTGTCTCTCGAAGTCAAGTTCCAAAAAATATTGATATGGTTAGTATAGACTTATGATGATAAAAAGCTTTAGATTTAGTTTTGTAATAGATTATATAATGTTATCTAAGTGCTACCACAATTTGCCATTCGAGAACACAAAACGTTAAAGAACAGTGTTTAAAAGCGGACATTTTGATCGTAGCTATTGGAAGAAAACATTAATAATATATTATATAATTATATATAAGTGCTACCACAATTTGCTATTCGAAATAAGTTCCATCAGATCTTGTTGTCTTTCAAAGTCAAGTCCCAAAAAATATTGATATAGATTGATATGGTTAGTATAGACTTATGATGATAAAAAGCTTTAGACTTAGTTTAATAATATATTATATAATTATATATACCGTAAATACTGTAATAGTACCCCACTCCCATAATGACGGTGTGGAGTGTTGCGTAGTCTAGCTTTGAACGAGTTTTTCTCGACACTGGTTTATGCTACAATGCGCGCATAGGTATCAAAAGATAGCCCTGAATTTCAGCTATTTTTTGATACCTAAGCGCGCCTTGTAGCTTAAACCAGTGTCGAGAAAAACTCGTTCAAAGCTAGACTACGCAACACTCCGCACCGTCATTATGAGAGGTGGGGTACTATTACAGTATTTACGGTAAGTACTATCACAATTTGCCATTCGAAATCAGTTCCATCAGATCTTGTTGTCTTTCGAAGTAAAGTCTCAAAAAATATTGATATGGTTAGTATAGAATTAATGATAAAAAAAGCTTTAGATTTAATTTAATAATATATAATATAATTATATATAAGTCTAATCTTTATTTAAAAATGATAAAGCAGTATAAAAAATTCTTGTTTTCAGCTAGCTAAAGAAGTTGGAATCTTACACAGCGAGTTGGACTTGTTTGGGAAAAAGAAAGCTAAAGTTTCACTTGATATTATTAAACGTTTACAACATGTGAAAGATGGACGATATGTTGTAGTAACTGGTGATCAAAAAAAGAATTGTTCGAATTAAATTTGAAACTCTAGGAATCACTCCTACACCTCTTGGTGAGGGGAAATCCACCACAACAATCGGTCTTGTTCAAGCTTTGGGTGCTCATCTGAAAAAGAATGTCTTTGCTTGTGTGAGACAACCATCTCAAGGCCCAACTTTTGGAATCAAAGGTGGAGCTGCTGGTGGAGGATATTCACAGGTTTTTTTTAAACATTTCAAAACAGTTCAAGATAAAGCCAAGTTACAACTCTTAGGTTATCCCTATGGAAGAGTTCAACTTGCATTTAACTGGTGACATTCACGCAATCACTGCCGCCAATAACCTCTTGGCTGCTGCCATTGATGCTCGAATGTTCCACGAAGCTACTCAACAAGATGATGCGCTTTTTAATCGATTGTGTCCACAGAATAAGCAAGGTGTTTGCTTGGATTGATGGCTTGGATTGATGGCTTGGATTAATGGCTTAGATTAATGGCCTGGATTGATGGCTTGAATTGATGGCTTAGATTAATGGCTTAGCTTCTCATAATAGAAAACAATATTTTTAGGAGTTCGAGTCTTGTCAGCTGTTCAAAAGCGTCGTCTTTCTCGACTCGGTTTCCCGGTTGTTGACGATGGAAATTTGTTGACATCAGAACAGAAAGCAAAATTCGCTCGATTGGATATTGATGTTTCGACGATTACCTGGAATCGTGTTATGGATGTGAATGATAGGTGAGTGAAATGAATGAATGGAAATGAAAACATAGCAAGATCGAAGCAAGATCGATCGAAGCAAGATCGATGGAGCAAGATCGGTCAAGCTCGAAGATCGATCAAGCTCCATTGATCAAGCTTGAAGATCGATCAAGCTTGAAGATCGATCAAGCTTGAAGATCGATCAAGCTTGAAGATCGATCAAGCTCCATTGATCAAGCTCCATTGATCAAGCTCCATTGATCAAGCTCCATTGATCAAGCTCCATTGATCAAGCTCCATTGATCAAGCTCCATTGATCAAGCTCCATTGATCAAGCTCCATTGATCAAGATCGAAGCAAGATCGATTGATCGATGACAAGTTTACAGGGGTTTTAAACTTGGATTTTGATCACTTAGCTTTTTAATCAAACACTTGGTTTTTAAAATCTATCTGCTTACAGATTTCTCCGTGGCATTGAGGTTGGCTTGGGTTCTCAAGAGAAGGGGCACACTAGAAAAACCCAATTCGACATTACGGTGGCTAGTGAGGTAAACAAATGGAACAAGACACTTAAACACTTAACACTTAAAGTCTAACTAAATCTCTTTCTTTCTCTTTAGATCATGGCCATTCTGGCACTCACAACTTCATTGAGCGATTTGAGAGACAGAATTTCGAAAATTGTGATTGCTTCGGATAAACAAGGTCAACCAGTGACTGCTGATGATATTGGAATCACTGATGCATTGACGGTAGAGCATCTTCTACAATAACTACAATAGCAACAATTGTTAATATTTGAAGAAGAAATTCTAGGTCTTGATGAGGGATACAGTTCGACCGAATCTCATGCAAACACTTGAAGGAACCCCTGTCTTTGTTCATGCTGGTCCATTTGCTAATATTGCGCACGGACAAAGCAGTATTCTGGCTGATAAGGTAAGGTCGATGTAGCTCATTGGTAGAGCGTTTGCCCGGTAAGAGATCGCAATTTCGAATCCCGGTGCCGACCGATAAAAAACCAATTGTTAAACTTAATTATTAGCTATTAAGCAATCAATTTACTTAATTAAATCCTCAGGTTGCTCTCAAACTTGTCGGTGAAAATGGATTCGTGATTACGGAGGCTGGTTTCGGAGCTGACATCGGAATGGAGAAGTTCTTCGATATTAAGTGCAGGTAAATAAGACAGAAAATCATTCAAGTTAATGAAAGCTGTTATTTTTGATAAAGATAAGAGCTCTTTAGATACTCTGGACTTTTGCCTAGCGCTGTGGTTCTCGTGGCAACCGTTCGAGCGCTCAAGATGCATGGTGGTGGACCGGCTGTGGTTGCAGGTTTGTGCTTAAATCTAAAATTGAATAGATACAAATCTAAACGAGTTTATTTGTTAATTAGAAGCTAATCTCTCAAAATATTCGATTAAAACTTTGTGGTTAAATCGAAATTTCAATAGCTTGAGATAAAATGCAATAATCTAGACCATTCTACTTGTCAATAAGAATTTAATCTTGCATCTTTCAAAATATTATTGGATTGGTGAATTGAAAACTGCGGGCACCGTGTGCAATGTACAATGTGAGAGATTGTTGAAGAGAGAAAGCTTCAAAAACAAATGGAAGAACGATGGATATAATAAAAATGAAAGGCCCATCCAGATATCTCTAACGATTAGCTAAACAAAGAAATGACTAGAAGTTCTTAAACTATTGGGTTGGTGAATTGAAAACTGCGGGCTATTGTCATATGTGACAGTTTGAGCACTTTCTTCAAAAGAAACCCATTATGGTGTCAATGGAGAAGTTGTAGAGAATCAAAAATCAAGCTTATATCCAAATTTTCAGAGCGATTCAAAAACTGGTTTTCAAGAAACGCTCAAATTTACGAATTTTCACAAAACTTGCATTTTAAGCGAAACTACTAAGTGTATCTTTTTGGAAATTTGGCTATAAGCCTAATTTTTGATTCTCTACAACTTTTCTATTGACACCAAAATGGGTTTCTTTTGAAGAAAGTGCTCAAACTGGGACATCTCCAGTCCTTCATTAAATCTAAATTTCAATAGCTACTAATCTAGACCATTCTACTTGTCAATAAGAATTTAACCTTGCATCTTTCAAAATATAATATTCAGGAGCTCCACTCAAACACGAGTATCTCGACGAGAACATCGAGCTAGTCACTAAAGGATGCGATTCGAATTTGAGAAAACAAGTTAGTAAAAAACTTTTGAAACTAGCATTTATAGATTACCATAGAAATATCTATCTTTAGATTGAAAACGCGAACAAATTCGGAGTCCCTGTCGTCGTTTGTGTAAACCGATTCTCCACTGATACGGCTAATGAGTTAGAGATTGTTGTGGAGAAAGTAAAAAGCTGTCATAAAGATCTTTACTCAAAAAAGTTTCTAGGCAAAATCGTATGGTGCTCAAAACGCTGTAGTTTCCGAGCATTGGGCAAAAGGAGGAGCTGGAGCCATTCAATTGGCAAACGCTGTAGTTGAAGCGACGAGCGAGAAGAGTAATTTCAAGTGAGATTTTGAGAATCATAAAAAAAACTAATACAGAACTGCAGTGCTTTAGAATTGTAATAATATTGTATTTTTGTAGCTGCAAAAATTCGGTTAATAAAGTAAGGAGTTAACTCCCTCTGGAGGAAGGGAGAAGAGAGTGCTTTGTGGTGGTTAGCACTATTGTCCGGTAAGCGGACAGGTCGCGGGTTCGAGTCTCAGCGGCGAACAAGTTGCTGCCCTAGTTCCAACTGGCGATCACGGAAGGATGGGCTTTGTAATGCTGGCTAAAGTCTTCAGACCTAGTTTCGAGCGCAACCCAAGCCTATAAAAGAGACGTGTGAAACCGTCTCGTCCAGAGAGGAGGGAAGTTAACTTCCTCTGGAGTGAGGGAGATCAAATGCTTTGTGGTGTAATGGTTAGCACGATTGTCCGGTAAGCGGCAGGTCGCAAGTTCGAGTCCCGGCGCCGCACGATTTTTTGGAATGGCAAAGGAATGGCAAAGAAAGATTTCCGGAGATTGCTCTTGCTTTCCAGGAGGTGCTTTAACCACTGATCTATCATGTTTTTGCCTGAGACGAAAATGGAAATACAAGGAAGAAAAGCCAAGCCAAAAACCTCAAATAGCTGTTAAATTTGTTTGTTTGAAGCGGGTTCTTCAAAGAACAAGTTGATTAAAAAAATTTAAAAGTAAAAGCTATTCATATTTAAGTAAAATAAACTATTCTAGATTCCTGTACCCATTGGACTTGGGTTTAGAGGAGAAAATCGCAACGATCGCCCGTGAAATCTACGGAGCTGACGGAATCGAGTTGAGTGAAGCAGCTAAAGAGGTACATTGACATTGTTGAGGAGAAATAGTTACCCAATCCAAACGGTTCTTAAATACTTTTCTTTCTATTTCAGAAAATTGAGCGTTATACACGACAAGGTTTCTCAAAACTTCCAATTTGTATGGCAAAAACGCATCTTTCGCTTTCCCACGATCCGACAAAGAAAGGAGCTCCTACTGGTTTGTTTTTTTTGAAAAAGAAAATCATTATAAAGTAGAATTACAAGAGAATAACCTGGTTAAGCTGAATGTTAAGCTAAGCTAGAATCATCATAGACAGAATAGACAAGCTTTCTAAGGCCACTTTTTCTCTAGTTTATATTGGGTTGTCCAGTTATGAATGCGCGTTTTTTACTATTTTGTAAATTTCTCAAGATATCGAACAGATGTGTATGAAGTAGAATTACAAGAGAATAATGGTTAAGCTTTAAGTTATATATCATTCGAAAGCTGAAGATCTCCTCTACATTTTGGAATAAAAAACTTTTTGAATTCATTCAACTTTTTGGGAAATCGACTGCTCAAAGGGAGAGGTCGTTTTCGAAAAAAACCCATTCCAGCTTAGCTATTCCTCAAGTTTTATGGTGTAAAATAACCGCCCAGAAAAGTAAAGATGCTCTGAAATTGTTATATTTTTAAAAAAGTTGTATTGGTATATCTATTGGCCAAACATCAAACGGTTAACTCAATTTGAGCGCAGCCAAAACTTGATCCAAAGGCACCCTTCCATTTTTTGGCCACCTCTTCTTCTTTGCAGTCAATTTGCCCAAAAAGCTAAACAAATTCAAAAACTTTTTAGATCAAAATGCAGAGGAGATCTTCAGCTTTCGAATGATAACACTCATATACATCTGTTCGATATCTTGAGAAATTTACAAAATAGTAAAAAACGCGCATTCATAACTGGACAACCCAATAAATCAACACTTGAGCTAGTCAGTAATGAAAAGCCAGACTCAAATCAAATTCTAGACTAAACTTAATCGATCTACTTTATCTAGCTGATTGATAATAAAATAAAGAATGGTAAAGAAAGGTTAATTAACTAAAGAATAGTAAAGGGAATAAATTTGATGATTTTCTTTAGACAAGTTTAGGCTTTAGACAATTTTAAACCAACAAACCCTTCCAGTTTCCGCTTTCTCAGTCACAATGAGTTTGCTATCGGCTTCTAAATCAACTTTAATCAGTAATAAACATCAAATAACCTTGCGGAAGTGTTCTAATCGGTGCTTGCGATCTCTTCGCCGAGCTTCTCCTTGATTTCTTCGATAGTTTCGTTGATGTCTTTGAAAAAGTCGACTTCTTCTCGATTTCTGATTCAGCATCGCTGCTGTCTTTCTTCTCTTGACTAGCATTTATATTTATATAGACAAGCTTCTTCCAAATCCTTACCTTTCCTCATCAGAACTTTCCTCAATCTCGCTCTCTTCTTCCTCTTTCTTTTCAATTTCAGCCTCTTGCAAGTAACGCTCTGTTTCCGGATTTTCCATTAAATTCGCATATGTATCAACATAAGCAATTGTATTATCTAAAAATTTATATACTTAAAACGTTTCTTTGACTATCTGATACACTTGATCTTGACTTGGACTATATAAATCAACACTTGAGCCAGTCAGTAATGAAAAGCCAGACTCAAATCAAATTCTAGACTAAACTTAATCGATCTACTTTATCTAGCTGATTGATAATAAAATAAAGAATGATAAAGAAAGGTTAATTAACTAAAGAATAGTAAAAGGAATAGATTTGATGATTTTCTTTAAACAAGTTTAGGCTTTAGACAATTTTAAACCAACAAACCCTTCCAGTTTCCGCTTTCTCAGTCACAATGAGTTTGCTATCGGCTTCTAAATCAACTTTAATCAGTAATAAACCTCAAATAACCTTGCGGAAGTGTTCTAATCGGTGCAATAGATTCAATGATAGATCAAAGAATACTTTGAGATTAATAGTGAAAGAATAAATCACAAAATTTCCTTTGTTATTGTCTTTTTAGATCTTTTTTAACTTCTAGTAAATCACAAAGTAAACCATAAACAAAGCTACTGGATAAAATCGTTTCTAATTTTGCAAAACAATAAAATTCAGGCTTCATCCTGCCAATCCGTGATGTTCGAGCCTCGGTCGGCGCCGGTTTTATCTATCCATTAGTTGGTGAAATGACGACAATGCCTGGATTATCAACTCGTCCATGCTTCTTCGATATCACCATTGATCCAGAAACCGAACAAATTGATGGACTTTTCTAATCTTTACACTAATTACTTCTCTTTTTGACTTCAAATCCAATAATTCTTACTCGTTACCCTTCTCTGAACATCACTTTTCTAAATCTTCTTGCCAACTTCTTTATCCTAGTTCATTTAGTTTATTTCTTTTTATTTTTATAATAAATTTTCATGTTTTAATAGTGATTTAAGTTTATTTTCGAATTTGATTCATTTATTGGGTTGGTGAATTGAAAACTGCGTGCTATTGTCATATGTGACAGTTTGAGCACTTTCTTCAAAAGAAACCCATTTTGGTGTCAATGGAAAAGTTGTAGAGAATCAAAAATTAGGCTTATAGCCAAATTTCCAAAAAGATAGCTCGAAAGAAAACGGGTACAGCACCGTGTGCAATGTACAATGTGAGAGATTGTTGAAGAGAGAAAGCTTCAAAAACAAATGGAAGAACGATGGATATAATAAAAATGAAAGGCCCATCCAGATATCTCTAACGATTAGCTAAACAAAGAAATGACTAGAAGTTCTTAAACTATTGGGTTGGTGAATTGAAAGCTGCCGGCTATTGTCGTATGTGACAGTTTGAGCACTTTCTTCAAAAGAAACCCTTTTTGGTGTCAATGGAAAAGTTGTAGAGAAGCAAAAATCAAGATTATATCCAAATTTTCAGAATGATTCAAAAACTGGTTTTCAAGAAGTGCCAAATTTACGAATTTTCACAAAAATTGCATTTTAAGCGAAACTACTAAGTGTATCTTTTTGGAAATTTGGATATAAGCTTGATTTTTGATTCTCTACAACTTTTCCATTGACACCAAAATGGGTTTCTTTTGAAGAAAGTGCTCAAACTGGGACATCTCCAGTCCTCCATTAAATCTAAATTTCAATAGCTACTAATCTAGACGATTCTACTTGTCAATAAGAATTTAATCTTGCATCTTTCAAAATATAATATTCAGGAGCTCCACTCAAACACGAGTATCTCGACGAGAACATCGAGCTGGTCACTAAAGGATGCGATTCGAATCCAATAATCTATCGGCTGTGGTTGCAGGTTTGTTACTATTAGTAAAATTGGAACAGAGCTATTACTCTACTCATAACTCTTTTCGATTTCAACAATTGACTACAAAAAACGTTTTCCAGACTCAATTAAAACTCGGTCAAAGAACTCCAAGAAAATCCCAAAAAAAACAATTTTCCCAAGACTTTTCACGTTTGAAAATTTCATTCTTTCTTCTCTCTTTTATTAATGAAAAATTTCAAGTTATTATTACAATTAACGATTCTTTTGCTTATTAAAAGTTTAAAAACAACATGTAATGATGAGGAAGTATTTGAATGCTTTATAACACAAATGAAATCTTTTGATAACTCACTACAATCACTCGTTGATCCCTACGATTCAAGGATTATTGGATCGATTTGTCAAAATCTTGACTCAATTTCGAATCATTGTCAATGTTCGACACAGATGAAAACGAAGTAAGTTTCATTTTCTTTCTTATTTTATTCTAAACGCAAATTTTTAGTCAATTTCCTTTAAAACTAGCGTATTCAAGCACTAGTTTTTAGGAAAATTAGGTCAGAATTTGACCAAAAAACAAATAATCCACATAAATAATAATAAAACCACCAATAAAATCAAAATTTCGTTCATCAAATGAGAGCTAACACTTTGATTACTTTAGAAAACTTTGGCGGTGGGCTAGTTTCCGCAAATTTTTTTTGCGCAACAGGGTCGTTTGCGCAGCGCGCCATAACTTTCTTCTAAGTCCACCAATCTTTATGATTTTGGGTTCATTTTGTAGATCTCAATAAGTGCAACAATCATAAAGAATCATAAAGATTGGTGGACTTAGAAGAAAGTTATGGCGAGCTGCGCAAATGACCCTGTTGCGGAAATTAGCCTACCCCGATCAGTTGCTCGATCAGTTGCTCGATCAGTTGCTCGATCAGTTGCCCGATCAGTTGCCCGATCAGTTGCCCGATCAGTTGCCCGATCAGTTGCCCGATCAGTTGCCCGATCAGTTGCCCGATCAGTTGCCCGATCAGTTGCCCGATCAGTTGCCCGATCAGTTGCTCGATCAGTTGCCCGATCAGTTGCCCGATCAGTTGCCCGATCAGTTGCCCGATCAGTTGCTCGATCAGTTGCCCGATCAGTTGCCCGATCAGTTGCCCGATCAGTTGCCGCTTTTTTTGCCTGTAGCTAGAGAAAAACTGGAAAGTGGTGAAATAATCTTTAAATAATCGAATTTTGTTGAAAATCTCGCTTAAAATAATAAATTGATTCGTCCGTAAACGTAGATCAGTTGGGGTAGGCTGGTTTCCGCAATTTTTTTTGCGCAACAGGGTTATTTGCGCAACTGGGTCGTTTGCGCCAGTTGCCAACTCGCCATAACTTTCTTCTAAGTCCACCAATCTTTATGATTTTGGTGTCATTTTGTTGCACTTATTGATATCTACAAAATGAAATCAAAATCATAAAGATTGGCCTACTTAAAAGAAAGTTATGGCGAGTTGCGGAAACGACCCTGTTGCGCAAAAAAATTTGCGGAAACTAGTCTACCCCAAAACTTTGGTTATCAATTTTCTAGATTTTCTCAAGAGCGATGCAGTGGCGCGACACCGAAACAAAGCTTTCTCCAATACCAGAAATGTTTCCCGAACACCAATGTAGCCGATTTATTAGCTTGCTCACCTCCAAACGAAACTTGTGCTGGTATCGTCAGCGGCTTGCAATGTCAACAAGATGTCTATCAAGAGAAATGCAATGCTTCTTCAGCTTTTGCTGATATTATGTACATTGACGCAGTGAACGGATTTAATAATTTCTCAAATTGTACCACGGAAGTGGCCACGAATTTTCACTCAAAAGTCACGACAAGCAACTTTTGGTTATACATAGCAATTGCACTAGGTGTTTTGGGCTTTTTAGGTGTCATCGCTGCTTCAGTTGCTTACAACAAAGCTCAAATAAATCCACAAACGAAACGCTATTCGTGAAATTTGTCTTTAGTCTAATAAATTCTTGATTGAGATTTGAGAAGATACATATTCAAAAATAGATATTTATTCCAAAAAACAGCTCTAAAAACAGTTCTAATTTGTCAGTCTACTATTGAATTTGATTTAAAATGATCAAAATAGCTTTTGTATTATGAGGTAGAATATTTTTTGAGATGAATGAGTCTTTATCTAGTGTCTAAAGTGGTTTCAAAAATCGATATTTATCGAAAAACAGTTCTAATTGTGTGTCTACTGCTAAATTTGATTTAAAATGATCAAAATAGCTTTTGTATCATGTGCAGAATATTTTTTGAGATAAATGAGTCTTTATCTAGTGTCTAAAGTATTTCAAAAATAGATATTGATTCTAAAAACAGCTCTAAAAACATTTCTGATTGTGTGTCTAATACTAAATCTGATTCTAAATGATCAAAATAGCTTTTGTATCATGTGCAGAATATTTTTTGAGATAAATGAGTCTTTATCTAGTGGCTAAAGTGTTTCAAAAATAGATATTGATTCAAAAAACAGTTCTGTTTTGTGTGTCTACTGCTAAATTCGATTTAAAATGATCAAAATAGCTTTTGTATTATGATGTAGAATATTTTTTGAGATAAATGAGTGTCTAAAGTGTGTCTTTATCTAGTGTCTAAAGTGTTTCAAAAATAGATATTTATTCTAAAAACAGCTCTAAAAACAGTTCTGATTGTGTGTCTATTGCCAAATTTGATTTAAAATGACCAAAATAGTCTCTGTATCATGTGTCGAATATTTTTTTGAGATAAATAATGGCTTATACAGTGTCTAAAGTGCTTCAAAAATCGATATTGATTCTAAAAACATTTCTGATGGTGTGTCTAATACTAAATTTGATTTAAAATGATCAAAATAGCTTTTGTATCATGTGTAGAATATTTTTTGAGATAAATGATGGCTTATATAGTGGCTAAAGTGTTTCAAAAATTCATATCGAAGAAGGAAACTTAAAAATGCGTCTTATTCTCTGTTTGATGTTGTCGATGGCTTTGTTAGCTGTCACAATGGGAAGTCATTTCGGGAAAAGGGTAAATCATTTGATAAAATGATAGATCTTCAGTATAAATAATAAATTTAATGATAAAATTTGATTTCAGGAAGTGCATGCGGAAGAAAACGATGAAATGGTATCATTTGAATCTTATACAAATCTTTACTTCACTTACTTTTAAGCTTTGAAAAGTTAATCAAAACCAGTCAAAATTTTCAGCATCAACGCGTCAAGAATCACATTGTGTCGCATCAGTGTCATCGAAAGTATCACTATGAAAAGCATTTATGTTGTCAACAATTCCCCAATGATTACCATTGCTTATGAATTATTTAAAAGTTTTAAAAATAAAGTAATGCAAAATATTTCTCTACTCAAAAGCACAAAGCGTAAAGTTAAGTTATTTAACTAGTTATTGAAATAGAAAGTTATTGAATTAGTTATTGAACTGGTTATTGAACTAGTTATTGAACTGGTTATTGAACTGGTTATTGAACTGGCTATTGAACTAGTTATTGAACTGGTTATTGAACTAGTTATTGATCTAGTTATTGTTCTAGTTATTGATCTAGTTATTGAACTAGTTATTGAACTAGTTATTGAACTAGTTATTGAACTGGTTATTGAACTAGCTATTAAACTAGTTATTGAACTAGCTATTGAACTGGTTATTGAACTGGTTATTGAACTAGCTATTGAACTAGTTATTGAACTAGAAAGTTATTGAACTAGTTACTAGTCATTGAACTAGTTATTGAACTAAATTTAACTAGAAAAATGGTTATTTCTTTACTTTCTTTTATCATAATCTACATATTTTCAATAAGTTTTAATAAAATTTTGTTTAAATACTTTTTTTGGCATGAATGGTATGTTGAATATTTGAACTGAATCTTTAAATCCAACCAGGAAACTCAAAAAATCCTTCTGTTTGGCTCTGTTGGCTTTAGTGGCTGTCATAATCAGAGCTTCTTTCGAAAAAAGGTAAATCGTTTTAACTAACAAATCAAAGATCAGATATTTTGCTAATAAAAACCAAGTACAAATTTGGAATCAGATCTGCATCGATTGGTCTAAATTTCATTTTAATCGGTCGTACGAATTCAAAACTTCATGACTCAAATGTAATGGTTAGCTGCATGGTTAGCTAAATGGTTAGCTGAATGGTTAGGTGAATGGTTAGCTGAATGGTTAGCTGTATGATTAGCTGCATGGTTAACGGAATGGTTAGCTGCATGGTTAGCTAAATGGTTAGCTGAATGAATACTTAGCTAAATGAATAAAACCGTCACAAGAATCACAGGATCCAATCATGATTATCAAATATCAAATATAATCATAATCAAATCTGACCGTGATTTTAAATAGTCAGAAATTTAAAGTGACTGGAGTTCATAAATATTTCAAGATCTTTCCAATTCAGAAATTGCAAACGAAATGGTGAAAAGGTATTATTTGAATATAAAAGTGGTACTTAAAGTCACTTTACCTTGAAGTCTTGAAAACAAGACTTGAAAAGTAATCAACTTCAGTTAAATTTTCAGCATCTTTATGTGAAGCGTTGCTCGCATGATATTTGTCGTGTCGTTTGGTTATTATAAAACTCCAAAGCTTGAGTCTGAGTCTAGTTCTGGTTTGCCTAAAGCCCCTGGTCAAAAAATAAATCTCTTGCTTAGCTGAATAAATAAAATAATGTAAAACAAATTTTTTTCTTTCCCAGAAATGTAAAAATAACATAGATTTTATGCCACAAAGCAGTTATTTTTTTATTCTATCACGTTTGAGAGTAAAACCTTGTTCTAACTTTAGCTCAGATGATCAAAATAACCCTTTAACATGGTGTAGAAATGTTTTCTAAGATGATAAGCCTTTATTCCTTAACGGCTAGCCGTTAACGAATGATTCGTTAGCGGCTGAATTTCTACGGCTTCGACATATAGAAGCTCGTTATAGAAGCTCGATTGTATTTGCATTTTATTATTTTCAAATATCAATTCTTTTATCTTGATTGAAGAGTGCAAAAGAAGGAGTAGGCTAATTTGCGAAAATTTTTTTTGCGCAACAGGGTCGTTTGCGCAACTCGCCATAACTTTCTTCTAAGTCCATCAATCTTTATGATTTTGGCTTCATGTTTGTTGCACTTATTGAGATCTACAAAATGAAACCAAAATCATAAAGATTGGCCTACTTAAAAGAAAGTTATGGCAAGTTGCGCAAAAAAAAAATTGCGGAAATTAGCCGAGCCCCAAAAGGAACTTTTCAAAATTCCCACACTTTTCAGGTGTTCTTTGGAGTCTTTTGTAGTCTTGCGAAAGTTTAAAGATTTCATTTATTGCTTTTTTATTGTTTAAAATGGAAATTCAACAAACGAGAATCAAACAATTGGTCGCCAAACACTTTACTGAATATTCAAACAATGGTTATTTAATTAAGAATTCTTTTAAAAGAATTAGAATTTTAGAAATTTTCCAACAAGTTACCCAGGCTTTCATCAAAGAGTTCACTGATGATTTTCCGAATTTAGAAAACCTTATCAAAGTTGTTAGTGGTTTGTTTAAAAAGCTTATTTTTCATCTAAACTTTTAGATACACTGAGCTGTGAACAGATGACTGCAAAAGGTGTCATTTTGGAGTTATTAGCATTGGTTGTCAAATGCATTCATCACAAAATTTCCTTCAACAATGAGGTTTATTTATTAAGAATATGGTAGCTGAACATTAATCCCTTAGAATTAGTTCTGAACTTTGTACTTTAGATGAAAATTGAGTTAAACAGCGATTTCATTTAAGCAGAAAATGGATGAAAGTGTCGGATATCCTCTTTGGAATAGAAATGATAAAGTGATTATTGAACTAGAAAGTTATTGAACTAGTTATTGATCTAGTTATTGAACTAGTTATTGAACTAGTTATTGAACTAGTTATTGAACTAGTTATTGATCTAGTTATTGATCTAGTTGTTGTTCTAGTTGTTGTTCTAGTTGTTGTTCTAGTTATTGAACTAGTTATTGAACTAGTTATTGAACTAGTTATTGAACTAGTTATTGTTCTAGTTATTGATCTAGTTATTGTTCTAGTTATTGAACTAGTTATTGAACTAGTTACTAGTCATTGAACTAGTTATTGAACTAGAAAGTTACTGAACTAGTTACTAGCCATTGAACTAGTTATTGAACTAAATTTAACTAGAAAAATGGTTATTTCTTTACTTTCTTTTATCATAATCTACATATTTTCAATAAGTTTTAATAAAATTTTGTTTAAATACTTTTTTTGGCATGAATGGTATGTGGAATATTTGAACTGAATCTTTAAATCCAACCAGGAAACTCAAAAAAATCATTTTGAAGTTATTAGCATTGGTTGTCAAATGCATTCATCACAAAATTTCCTTCAACAATGAGGTTTATTTATTAAGAATATGGTAACTGAACATTAATCCCTTAGAATTAGTTCTGAACCTTGTACTTTAAATAAAAATTGAGTTAAACAGCGATTTCATTTAACCTTAAAATGGATTAAGGTATCGGATATCCTCTCTGGAATTGGAATTCTTTGGAAAGAATTCAAATCTCTCAATTAACTTCATTAAACTTAGGAGTTTACTGATGAACGAATCGCTTTCGTGAAGATTTATCGAAAAGCATTGATGTCTCTCTCAAGAAGCTCGACTTTTCTCTCATATATTGCACAATTTGATACTTATTTTGCTCGTCATCTCATCTCATCGGATTTCCAATTTGAAATGGAGGTAAATGAGTCAGACAAAAACGTTACTAACACTCTTTTTATTGAAAAAAATGATTCTATCTAAACTTTCAAGTACTTTAAATTCAAATAATCTCACGTAAAGCAACAAGAATTCTTTCTTAGGCTTAAGGCTTAAGGCATTAGGCCATATTTTAGTACAACATAGTGCTCTGTGATTGAATTGAAGCTTATCAAAGTCCATTTTGTATCCATTTTGTATACTCCATCATCAAATTGAAGCTTATCATTAGCCAAAGTTTTACAAAGTACTCAAAAATCATTGAAGTCGATGTTTTTCTTAAAAGCTGGATTAAGAAATTGATCGGATTCTTGTAGACAAGTTGAAAGCTTCTGCGTAGCTTTCTTTCTACTTTCTTTCTGCGTGTCCGGGCAACGATTTCACCTAATTGGGCAGCTACGCAGACATTAGGAGCACCTTTTAGAATTTCAAAATCATTATATATGTCGTAGCTGTTTACGAAATTCAGCTTTTTACGAATGATTCTTGCTTAGGCTTAAGGCTTAAGGCATTAGGCCATATTTTAGTACAACATTGTGCTCTGTGATTGAATTGAAGCTTATCAAAGTCTATATTGTAGCCATTTTGTATCCATCTTGTGTACTCCATCATCAAATTGAAGTTTATCATTAGCCAAAGTTTACAAAGTACTCAAAAATCATTGAAGTCGATGTCTTTCTTAAAAGCTGGATTAAGAAATTGATCGGATTCTTGTAGACAAGTTGAAAGCTTTGAAACTCAAGTAATCTCACGTAAATCAACAAGAATTCTTTCTTAGGCTTAAGGCTTAAAGCATTAGGCCATATTTTAGTACAACATAGTGCTCTGTGATTGAATTGAAGCTTATCAAAGTCTATGTTGTATCCATTTTGTATACTCCATCATCAAATTGAAGCTTATCATTAGCCAAAGTTTTACAAAGTACTCAAAAATCATTGAAGTCGATGTCTTTCTTAAAAGCTGGATTAAGAAATTGATCGAATTCTTGTAGACAAGTTGAAAGCTTCCTATGAGCGCTTTTTGTGTGAAAGCATAATCCGTTTTCGAGCGGACATTCCCTATTGCGAGTATTTGGCTCATGAATCGATACATTTAGAAAAAGGGGATCCTTTTGCATAGATATAGAGAAGACGAAACTGAATTGTCGGCTCGTCTCGGCTCCTCACCCCCAGCTTCCATAATTGCATTCTCTCTGTGCCCCCATCTTTCAACCAGTCTTCTCCCACCCATTCCCCATCAACTATATCTCATATTCTTATAGAGAAAATTTTGATAGATCTTTAAGCTATGGAAAATAGATCTTTTGTTTTCTATGAGTGAATCATTTTTGCTAGCAAGAAGCAAAGAAATCTAAGGCTTACAAAGCTGAGCAAATATTTTGGTACATCAGTTAGGCTACTAGTGCACATAGAACAAGTACACATAGTACATATAGTACACATAGTACACAAGAAACAATAGAACAAGCTTGAAAACCAGATTTATTATCTAGTAAACTATAATCCTTGAATCAAAAAAAAACAATTTCAGAGCAAAATCGAGCCCCAAATCGAGATCCGATGGCGAATGAAAATGGATGATGGAGAAGAGAGAGAAGTGATGCTTTCACCGGCAATCATCAATAAAATGGTTGAAGAAACTGGAGCTGCATTGCAAGCAATCGATTCGATCAAAAGAAGGCATTATCTTAAACCGTGAACATATAAATGTGATGAGAAATAAATGGATTTTAAACTGTTTTCCATTGCTAGCTAAGAGCTCTGACTGATCTGATTGGCTTGACTGACTTTACAGCGAGTACAGCTGTTAATCTAGTCTAAGGAATTGAAGCTATGCTAAGTTTGAAGCTAGCTTAGTTTGAAGCTATGCAAGTTTGAAGCTAGCTTAGTTTGAAGCTATGCAAGTTTGAAGCTATGCAAGTTTGAAGCTAGCCTAGTTTGAAGCTAGCTTAGTTTAAAGCTTATTATTTGATTTGAGTAGCTGATAAAGCTTTTCAATCAATTGCTGGAATTGTAGAAGAAGAGAAAAAGATTAGAATAAGTTAAATAAAAATGAAAAACATCGAAATTTTCAATCCTAACTGCTTATTTCAATCCTAACTATCATTTTTCACTTTTTAAAACGTTCTTTGGTAAACTTAATCCATTTTTCTCATACCAGATTTCCGATTTTTATCCATAACTTTCTCACAAACGCGGATCAACGCTCAAAGAGAAGATTTACACTTGACTAGCTTTTAGATGAGATTGAGGGGGAAATCTCGGGTGTTGGTCGTATGCAAGTGGCTTATGGAGTGAGGCATGACGTGAGGCACCCCTTCTTCCCATCTCAGGCATCCACCCCTCCTTCTTCTCCTTCTTCTCCATCTTCTCCTTCTTCTCCATCTTCTCCTCCTCACCCAGCTCAGCCAATTAACGAATGTGGTGTGTGGAGTGGAAAAGGCTTCTTCACTCATCCAACAAAGCGACGATTTCCTTCTCATACCCTTTTTAGTAAAAGAGAAATCTTGGAAATGAGTCAGGAATGGGATAAAACTGACTATAAGGACTGACTATAAAACTGACGATAAACTGACTATAAGGAACCAAATTTAGATAGAAAAGAAACCAAATTTAGATCGAGAAAGAACCAAATCTGTAGAGATAAGGAATAAAATTTAATAAGATAAGGAACCAAATTTAGATAGATAAGGACCCAAAATGGTAGAGATAAGGAACCAAATTTAGATAGATAACTATGACAATGAGTTAAAATGATTCTTTAAGTGAAGCTCATTGATTCAGTTTTTCTCATTATCATAGACTGATTCTTATTCTCGTTTCTCAGAGTTTTAAATGGGTTTAAGCCATTGTGTCATTGATTATAAACTTTCAAAATCCTCCGTTGTAAACAGATTAGCCCTTTGTTTATAGACTTTTTCAAATTTAAACCGCGGTCAGGGCCCAGAAGTGGCTCATTCCTTTTGCAAATTCCCTTTGCTTCCAATGCCTCTTTATCAAATTCATTTCCCGTTAGAGCCGCTAGATTATGGAACTTGCTCCCAAACGACATACGAGAAATTCAGTCGCTTTTCATATTCAAGAAACGTATCGATGCTTTAGATCTAGTGGCTCTTTGCCGTAAGTAATTGGCTTATTGATTTCAGTATGTATTGTATGATTAAGTATCACTGTGCATTTCTCTATGATTTCTTTCACTTTATCGTTTGAATAAAGTATTATTATTATAGAATACTAAAATACATTGAGAATAAGATTCGTACCAAGGATAGAGCAAAGAGGGCAACTGCTCCTTTCTTGTCGCTTCAAAGCAAGATATAGATTGGTAGACATCAATAAGACTAGGTAAATGACTAGCTTGTTCTTCTCTTTTTTTTCTTGGTGTTAAGGACTGAGATTGAGTGACAAAGTCAAGCAATATCAGCAATACTGACAAGAACTCCTAATCGTCTAGCTCAAGGAGCTGTTACTTTACTACAGAAGAGATCTTTGTCATAGTAGCTAATTCTTAGATAGCTGATTTTAACCTACCGTAAATATTGTAATAGTACCCCACCTCTCATAATGACGGTGCGGAGCGTGGCGTAGTCTAGCTTTGAAAGAGTTTTTCTCGACATTGGTTTATGCTACAATGCGGGCGTAGGTATCAAAAAATAGCTGAAGTTCAGCGATTTTTGACGAGAATCCACCGCCATTCTCTCATGAAATGACTGATGCTTTGGATGTGTGCACGAGACAGTGAGTTGAAGCGCTTGAAACAGTTTACAGATTGAGTACTCGGTACTTGTCCCCACAAGGCTTATTGACCAACTAAATTAGCATCAAACTACTTTTTTTATGTAGTTCAAGTTTAGTTATGTCTATTGTAAGTATTCCTTGAACATCTTTAACCTTTGGACTATACATACCGTAAATACTGTAATAGTACCCCACCCCCATAATGACGGTGCGGAGTGTTGTGTAGTCTAGCTTTGAAAGAGTTTTTCTCGACACTGGCTTATGCTACAATGTGGGCTTAGGTATCAAAAAATAGCTGAATAGCTGAATTTCAGCTATTTTTTGATACCAAAGACGCACTTTTTGAAAGTACGAGCGCTTTGAAATGAAATACTAAAAAACTTTTGTGACTACGCGACTGTACGAGGGTGGTGGGGTACTATTACAGTATTTATGGTAAAGAATCTGAATCTTAACATTTCTCAACACTTTTGTAGAAAAAGATTCTAACAATACGTTAAAAGATAAAAAAGATAGCGATAAAACTCTCATTTCTCTTTCAGAACATAACAAAAACATTGACGTCTTTTCAGGATAATGAGCGATATTTAGCAAAATAACAATTGCTCACTTTTGAGACCAATTATACAGCTCAAACTTTTCATTATAGCTCAAAGAAATCCTAGCTTTTCAGAAGTGGATCATCGAAAAGTGAAGAGGGTGACCAGTTGAGTGACCAAGTGAAAAAGAGATCTCATATCCAAAAGAGCTATTGGCGTGGTGTCGGTGCTTCGTCGGTGACACGTATCGATCCCCTTTTTTGGCTAGGGTGAGCAAAAAGAGAGAGGGGAGGGGCCACCGCGGGGAGAAGGGCCAGGGGTGCCCACAAAGAGCCCGGTTTGGCTGCACTAGTCCGTATTTTAAAAAGCGATAATTTTCAAGAACAGCACTTCTATATTTGTTGCTGTGACAGTGCTCTCAGCAGTCGTGCTTTTGGTGGGCGAGTGGGGGACGGCGCCCGGGAGGTGCCGCCTCGTTGATGCTGCTCCCCGGCGCCCACCTCTCCGCCGAGGTTCTTTCAAAAGCAGCGCTCATCGTCGGTGTTGAAGTGAGTGAATGTTAAAAAGTAAAGCTATAGTAAATCTATTAAAGAACCTGGAAAGATTGCAGTTGATGTCCTAGAGTAGTTCTAGAGCAGTTGATTTCCTAGAGAAGTTCTAGAGCAGTTGATTTCCTAGAGAAGTTCTAGAGCAGTTGATTTCCTAGAGAGGTTCTAGAGCACTCCTAGAGCAGTTGATTTCCTAGAGCAGTTGATTTCTTAGAGAAGTCTTAGAGCAGTTGATTTTCTAGAGTAGTCCTAGAGAAGTCCTAGAGCAATTGACTTCCTAGAGCAGTTCTAGAGCAGTTGGTTTCCTAGAGAAGTTGTAGCTCAGATTGTCAATTGAGAACCGGTTTGCTAAAAGATTTGATAAGATTAACTAAATATAAAACATCTACATTATCTATACTAGAACAACAACTTTATCTAAGATCCTTTTTTGATCCCATTTAGGATCTAGAATCCCAATTCCATCACAATATTGACCTACCAGATTCATTTCTTTCTATTCTGTCTTCAGCTATTTGAAAGCTTTTTCTATTGCAATTTTCCGTAACTAGAAACCAAATTTTAAAAGAATTTCACTTTCTATCAAAGCTTGTTGACAAAGGGATTTATGAAATTGCATCAACAAACAACAATTCCATTCCATCATCTCAAATAACAAAGCTAATGTTTACTAAAGTTGAAATAGAATGAAGAATTTCTAGGTTCTTTTACTGAGCACATCACTCCTTTCAATATGTGTCATTTGCACAACGCCCGATTTATACGACGTCATCGGATGCTATTTGGTGAGTGCAATTTGTTTAATTGAAAGGTTTAATTCTGAAAATATTATCAAATTCCACAAACGAATTTCTCAATTGAGACAAATTCTGTGAAACTTTCAAATCTATAACCTGGGGATTTTCCTTGACTCTTAGCATTTGATCTTTAAAGAAATCTTCTTTAAAGGCACATTTTGGGATCTCAAATTTCACCAATATTCAATGAATGTAGATCTACTTCTTGTTAGAATACCAGTACAATCAGTAATGTTTAGAAACTCTAGAAAGCCTTTGAGATAAGTCCCAAGAACTTTCCGAATTTTATTAAGAAAAGATTGAGACGCATCTTCTGATAAAGCGTCTTTCATTACTCCGTATCACAATCACCAATCGCTTTCTGTTTCCCCGTTCCGACCGATCAAAAAAAGCCGCCTAATGTTTAACGAATGTAGATCTACTTCTTGTTAGAATACCAGTACAATCAGTAATGTTTAGAGACTCTAGAAAGCCTTTGAGCTAAGTCCCAAGAAGTTCCCGAATTTTATTAAGAAAAGATTGAGACGCATCTTCTGATAAAGCGTCTTTCATTACTCCGTATCACAATCACCAATCGCTTTCTGTTTCCCCGTTCCGACCGATCACAAAAGAGCCCCAAAAAAGCCGCCCAAAAAACGACTAGTGTAAATATTTAATAAGTGGTCATCTTGCCAATAATATATGAGACCTCAAAGAGACTTTTTCTTTTCTGTTTTCCTTTTTCCCTTTTTTTTTGGCTTTTCCTCTTTTCTTAGTGCTTTCATTTCGAATTCACCGCTCATAAAGGTGTAATGAGAAGGGATTCCCCTAAAACAAAACAAAGTAAAATAGAAATTCTTGATCTTTAAAATACAATTAGATATTGAATGACTAAATAAATCAATTCAGATTCAATATTTTGATTGATAAACTTGTAGATTTGAAAACTTTATAAGTTTTGTAGGTTTAGGAAAGTTTAGGAAAGTTTAGGGAAGTCTAGGGAAGTCTAGGGAAGTTTAGGAAAGTTTAGGAAAGTTTAGGAAAGTTTAGGAAAGTTTAGGGAAGTCTAGGGAAGTTTAGAAAAGTTTAGGAAAGTTTAGAAAAGTTTAGAAAAGTTTAGGAAAGTTTAGGAAAGTTTAGGAAAGTTTAGGAAAGTTTAGGAAAGTTTAGGAAAGTTTAGGGAAGTCTAGGGAAGTCTAGGGAAGTCTAGGGAAGTTTAGGAAAGTTTAGGAAAGTTTAGGAAAGTCTATGGAGGTTTAGGAAAGTTTTGTAGGTTTAGGAAAGTCTAGGAAAGTCTAGAAAAGTCTAGGAAAGTCTAGTAAGTAATTTAGTAAGTATACTTGAACACTTTTTCTTAATAACCATTACTCACCGTTGCCAGCAAAGAGATTTTTTTTGAAAACTCTTTTGCAAAAACTTTGGATATCCATTAGTTGATTAAAATTATTTATGACGTAAAAAAAATGATGGAAATCTATAGATTTAAAGAAAAGAAATTTGTACTTGTAATAGAAGCCTTTTCAAAAAATAAATCATTGTTTTTCCGTAGTTAACTTACGATTTTGATCATTCCTCAAAACAACACGCGATTTTGAAATTGAAAAGTGATTCCTTGTTCAAAAAAAATCCTTGACGACAATCCAGACGACATTTTTATTAAAATCTCTTTCGTTTTTATTCAAATAACTACAGGAAAGTTCAAAAATATCATTTTTTTAGGATTTTAGAGATTAAATTTTAGATTAATCAAGTCAAAATAAAGATTGATTGAATTTAATTGTTGAAATTTGACTTTAAAAGAAGTTTTGATTAGGTTTATTATGAAGTTGTAAATTGCAAACGCAAGTCTTCTAGTGTACACTATGAAAAATAAAGTATTGAGTGTATTTTGATCAAAAGATTTAAAGAATAGACTGAAAGAGCGACTTTTCCGGGTCTTTTTCCGGATCAAATCTATATTGAAATCGACTTCTATAGCTAAAACTTTCCTCTATTTTAGTGGCAATTCTTTGGCTCAAATTCTCTACGATGCAAGTGCTCAGCCTATGCAAATGCTCAGCCTATACAAGTGCTCAGCCTATGCAAGTGCTCAGCCTATACAAGTGCTCAGCCTATGCAAGTGCTCAGCCTAATTTTGATTAGGTTTCTTATGAAGTTGTAAATTGCAAACGCAAGTCTTCTAGTGTACACTATGAAAAATAAAGTATTGAGTGTATTTTGATCAAAATATTTAAAGAATAGACTGAAAGAGCGACTTTTCCGGGTCTTTTTCCGGAACAAATTGATTTCATAGACTTTTCTTCTTTAACTTGTGACTCTAAAATGAAACTTGACTTGATCTATACCTTAAAATCTTCTACAAAAGCCTCATCGTCTTGGCAAAACGTCTTGAAATCGAGTATGGGCAAGCTTAAATCTAAAGGGACGAAGGGGATCCCCTCGGGAGCTCTCCTCCATCCACCCGCAACAATCAATTCCCCTTCTCTCTATTGCTCCTTGCTCTATGCCCCGGTGGGGAGGATAGCGAAGAAGTACTCGGGTTGTGTGTCCTTTTCTAGACCTTTTCTAGACCTTTTCCCATTCTAGATCTTTTTTCTCTTCTCTCCTAAAACCCATCCCGAATGTATGGCCGAACTCGAGGGGAAAATACCTTTTAGTCTCTTAAGAAGCCTGGATTTAGGGATATCTTTCTCAGAGCTCAAAAATCGAGGGATATTTTGGTGAAACTGGAATGAATGAATGAAAGTGGATTGGCTGACTTGGCTGGCTTGATTCAAAGCCAATTTAACACTGTCAAATAGCCTCAAATCTTCAACTCAACTTGTTTATCGTTTTGTAAATGCGCTTTGAATTTTAATAGCTTTAAAGTCTGTGTCAGTCTTCTAGCTATTAGAATTTTGAGTGCTGGCAACTGCTTTTCAATCTTTAGCTGAATTCTATCATAGTTTTTCTGCAGAAAACAAAACTTAGACTCATCTAGATCATTCCCTGCCTAGCTAGATCATTCTTAGACTCATCTAGATCATTCACTGCCTAGCTAGATCATTCTTAGACTCATCTAGATCATTCACTGCCTAGCTAAGTCTATTTTTTAAAACAAATCCTGTTGAAGCCTTTCCTGTTGAAAAGCTCAATCACAAATCCAGTTCAGAACCAGAAATTGACTCGTTTCCTCATTCTCTAGGCGCATTGGAAGGGGTTTTTCCTGTCTTCGTTTTGGTCGTAGGGTTCTACCCAATACTCGTCCCCATGCCAGCCTTCCTTTCCCCCACATATGCATGATTAGCCACCGGAAAGCGCCATTTTCGGTCGATGTCGGCTTCTTTTTTTCCCTTTTTCTTTTCTTTCTGCAGGATCCCAACAAATAAGAGTGGAAATGAGTGAAAAAATGAGGGATTAACGGGGAAATCTTTAAGCTTAGCAATTGTTAACTAACAACTGTTAACAACTGTTAACAATTGTTAATTAAAAAGTCACTAAACCAAAGCTAGACATGTAAAGGTTAAAATGTAACTCATGTACTTGAAATTAGAGTTTTTAAAGATAAACTTTATGAGAAATGTCTCAAAATTGCAAAACAGTATTTCATTTGAATTTAAAATTAAGAAAATTAAAGCAATAATGTTCTAAACTAGTTAAAAGTGATTTCTGTATAGCCAGAAATCAATGGCAACAGTTTTAAAGCCTCTAAAACTTTAAAATCTCAAGATCAATGATAGAATGACTAGAGAACTTGAAGAGATCAGAAAGATCTGGGTCAACATTCCTTTCTCAAATCACCTTCGAAATCCCAATAAACAAGAAAATGCGTAGATGTGATTGAAGAGATCTCTTGCCTCACCGCTTCAATGGTAGAATGACTAGAGAACTTGAAGAGATCAGAAAGATCTGGGTCAAGATTCCTTTCTCAAATCACCTTCAAAATCCCAATAAACAAGAAAATGCGTAGATGTGATTGAAGAGATCTCTTGCCTCACCGCTTCATTCCCTTTCAAAAAGCGCATCTGTTTTCTCGGTGATTTGTGAACGCCTTTCTTCTTTCTCAAATCTTTTTCATCTCTTTTTCATCTCTTTTCTTTTTCTCAAAAACCCCATCTCATCCAAGTTCTGTCAAGTTTTTGTCCTCCATTTTTCTTCTTTTTTTTTGAGATGACATCATATTCACATGAATTGTAAGTCGAGAGAGTCATTCTCTCTGAGAAATTTAATGGCTATTTTGCAAGGAAAGACCAGAGTTGAGATCTAGGAAAATGGCTGTTTTAAAAATAAATGCAAACAACAGAGAAACAGCATGGGAAACCTGTAAAGATACAGAAGATACAGGAACTGCAAAGAACGAAGACCGAATTAGACTTTTGCTTAGACCGAATTAGACTTTAGAAAGACGAAAACAACTTTGCAGATCGTTTCAAACTTTCAGCTGTGCCTATTCAGCTGTAAATTTGTACCCAAGGGTTTTCGAGGTCGGAGAATCGATTGGAGATATTCATTTTGAATGGAACTCAGATTTAGTGATGTCTGACACTCAGATGTCACATTCACGCCTTTTCTAAGCCTTCAATTCATTGATCAATCTCTTCCAAAGAAAAATCTTGTTTACCAGTAATGCAAATTAAATTTTCCCATTCCAGAGCTAAAGATGGGACTTATTCTCTTTCAGTTTCCATTCTAAGCATCGTTTCTTTTCCTCTGTCACCCATCGAAAAGCAAATCCGCTGTTTCTCCTAATTGTGGTTGCAAATCCCGCGGGAATCTTTCAAAGAGAAGAAAATGTTGGAGAGAAGAGAGAAGAGAGAAGATAGAAGAGAGAAGAGAGAAGAGAGAGAAGAGAGAAGAGAGAGAAGAGAGAGAAGAGAGAAGGGAGAAGGGAGAAGAGAAAAGCTTAAGTCATCCTTTCTTCTTTCTATATGGGGATGTTTTACCCTAATAAATGTTTATGTGTAGAGAACAATATATCAATTCAATCACAATTTACAGATATCCTTATCGGTTGCGGATCTTTTGTGTGCTCTGTTCCTGGTCCCTCTGTCGATCTACTCGGCTTTGGATCCACAAGTAAATCCTTGTCTTTACAACTACTTTTTATATCTTGCAACACTTTATAGATACAGTATACTGCAGTACTTTAAAACAATAACACATTTATATAACGATACTGAATAACTTTGAAATTTAGAGAAGTTTTAGTCTAGTCAGCCTTCTGTAGTGAATTGCAGCTTTTACAAGAAAAATTTTTGACATTAGAGTGCTATCAATGACATTAGAGCGCTATCAATGACATTAGAGTGCTATCAATGACATTAGAGTGCTATCAATGACATTAGAGTGCTATCAATGACATTAGAGTGCTATCAATGACATTAGAATGCTATCAATGACATTAGATAACAGATTTTTATTATAATACTTTAAAAGAAATGCGGAAACAAAAAAACAAAAGAAACAAAGAAAGAAATTGCTTGAATATCAGGTAAATGATATTTATCTAACATCGCACCTAATGTCAATCATCAATCAATCAAATTTAAGGCAAATCAATCTAATCAAAAAAATTAAAGTATAATAGAATGTGAAATGACTAAATTCTCGCAGATTTCCCCAACACATTTTAAAGAAATACTTTTATTAATTGTTTCTAGTGAAAATTTATCTAATAAACAGCTTTTACGTCAGCTGTGAAACAAAATATTTCAAACAATAATGATTTTCATAAATGTTTACAATAAAAAACTAATGAAAAGTTAAGCTTTATCGCTTTAACTCAGAGATATTAATAAAAATTCATTGAAATCTTTGAATAAGCATGTTTCTTAAACAATATTAAGCTACCGTAAATACTGTAATAGTACGTAAATACCTCCCTCGTACGGTCGCGTAGTCGCAAAAGTTTTTTAGTATTTCATTTTTTTTCAAAGCGCTCGTACTTTCAAAAAATGCGTCTTTGGTATCAAAAAAATAGCTGAAATTCAGGGTTATTTTTTGATAATTAAGTTTGCATTTTAGCATAAACCAGTGTCGAGAAAAACTCGTTCAAAGCTAGACTACGCAGTCCAAAGGCTAAAGATGTTCAAGGAATACTTAAAATAGACATAGCTAAACTTGAACTACGTAAAAAAGTAGTTTGATGCGAATTTAGTTGGTCAATAAGCCTTGTGGGGACAAGCACCGAGTACTCAATCTGTAAACTGTTTCAAGCGCTTCAACTCACTGTCTCGTGCACAAATCCAAAGCATCAGTCGTTTCATGAGAGAATGGCGGTGGATTCTCGCCAAAAATCGCTGAACTTCAGCTATTTTTTGATACCTAAGCGCACATTGTAGCATAAACCAATGTCGAGAAAAACTCTTTCAAAGCTAGACTACGCAACGCTCCGCACCGTCATTATGGGAGTGGGGTACTATTACAGGATTTACGGTAATAACTTTAACTGAAAAGAAGATCAAAGTTGAGTTTGACTTAAATGATTAAAAAGTTTCATATCAAATAACAAAGTTACCTTTTATTAGCTTTTAATTATAACTTTTAACAAAATAGAAATTAAATGGATGAGAGATTTAGATGAATTAATCATTTCAATAGATTTAATGATAGAAAATCAATGAGAATTTTGAGATTCTCAGATGAGAAAGTTTAGTTTTCTATTTTGAAATGAAAACATTTCTCAAATCTATATTGAAATCGACTTCTATAGCTAAAACTTTCCTCTATTTTAGTGGCAATTCTTTGGCTCAAATTCTCTACTATGCAAGTGCTCAGCCTATGTCCAAATAGCTCTCTTTTGCTCAACAGTCTACACTCTTGCTTGGATATGCATTGATCGGTAGAAAAGCTTGATGAACTTTTTGGATGTACGTTTGGAAGTACTTTTTAGATACTCAGCAATGACAAGACCGTCCCGTTATGCAGATCAATCATTAACGAGATGCAAGTGTTGGATCGTTTTCTCTTGGTTGACATCTCTTCTTCTTTGCTGTCCGATTGTAGTCGCTCAAATGAAGGTTAGAAGTTTAGATAAAGGATTGATAGCTCTTTGAATGCTGTTTGATAGTCATAAGTTCATTTAGCTGTCAACTGAGCTAAAGCTTAATTTTAGGTGATCTACTGGGAAGACGTTGAGTTGTGCGTGCTCGATTGGTCGGCCACATCAGCCTACTCTGGTACGTTAGCTCTACTCGTTTTTGGCCCAGCTCTTTTAACGATCATGAGCTCTGGATGGAAAATCATTCGAGCGATGAGGAGTCCACATTTGGTATGCAAATTTATAACTAATTTAAGAATAAGATTTCAGAGATCTCTGATGCTAAAGTTTAAAAGCAAAAGAACTAGTGAATCAGAAATGTCTCCTTAACTTTTCTAGTATTTCTAGACTTGTCTAGTATGTCTAGACTCGTCTTTCTAGTATTTCTAGATTTGTCTAGTATGTCTAGAATTGTCTAGTATGTCTAGAATTGTCTAGTATGTCTAGAATTGTCTTTCTAGTATTTCTAGACTTGTCTAGTATGTCTAGACTGTCTTTCTAGTATTTCTAGACTTGTCTAGTATTTCTAGATTTATCTAGTATGTCTAGAATTGTCTTTCTAGTATTTCTAGACTTGTCTAGTATGTCTAGACTTGTCTAGTATGTCTAGAATTATCTTTCTAGTATTTTTCTAGACTTGTCTAGTATGTCTAAATTCAAAGGTCATCAAAAAACCTTCAGCTCGAAGACAATCAGAGAACGGTGATTGAAACGGATCCAAATTTTGTGCTCACAATGTTTCTCCTGATAGCTTTCGCTCTCTCATGGTTGCCACTTCTCGGTCTACGAATCACCACTCATTTCATTCATCTCGAAGAACATATGGATGTTGATGTTGGCATGGTGAGTGGGGGTTTTTATATCTTAAGAATAATGTGTTTTACATGTTCAATTCATTTGATAAAAGCTTTGCAAAAGGAAAATCGGAAAATTTAAAATTTAAAATTCAGGTATCGTTCATTTTTATCTGGTTGGCGATTGCTGGTCCATCATCAAAATTTCTGATCTATATGTTCATCAATGGGCACTTTAGGAAAGCTGTTTTTCAGGTGTGACTAGAAAATAATTGGGAAACTTTTCTAAAATCTATCAACTTTTGAATCTAAAGGAAAATTTTGATTTCTAAAATGTGTCAATTTTTGAATTTATCGTTTGAAAAGATTTACAAATGATAAAAGAGTCAAAAGACATAAAGTAGATAGATTACCGTATTCTCTCTAATAGTAGTGCTCACTACTATTTTCTCAACCCCCTCCTGGACCACAATACTATTAGAGAGTGCACTACTATTAAAGAGTTTTATCATTTACCAAAGTAAGACAGATATAAGATTTTGTTCCAAAAATTCTTGCAACTCTTTCACGCACTCCTTTGACTCCTTTTGACATACAGTTGTGGGCCGGCGAGTTGACAATTTGTGTGTTGACAAACAACAGCACTGTTTGCCCTTTGCAAAACAATTTTAGATCTTTTGCTAACTTTTTCATGTGAAGAATAGTTAATAAATGAATAAAAAAAGCCTCACTTTTGCTTGTCACATAAACATAAAGTCAAAAAGGTTTTAAATGAAAAAGAAGCACCAGAAATTCAAAATTTTCGTGGGTGCACTACTATTAAAGAGTGCACTATTATTAGAGAGAATACGGTAAATGAAATTAGAGACAAGATTACGGTAGTTTTGAAGTTGATACGTTTGGGAAACTCTAAAGCTAACGAAGAAACAGAAATGGATGCCAGAGTTGCCAAGTAATTGACTATAATTTGTCTATTTAATACTATACAAGCAAATTCCTCAAATAAGAATACAATTAACTAACAATAAGGATGGATAATAATACTTTTGTGGATAATAACCGTAGCACTAGTAATCTAAGTTTTAAGTTGTCTTGAGAAATTCCGTGTAACTCGTAGAGCCCACAGCTCAAGCTTTCTAGCTTTCAAAAGAGAAATTTTTGCAGACAAGTGTCCATTCAACTACAATTTTCCACAAAAATCAATAGAATCTTTGCTTTTCTCTCGGCTAATCCTTTATGAATACCCGTTTCTTTCAACTCTCTCAATTTTTCAGTGGCGACCATGTCTCGTGTGCTGCTGTCCGGGCTACAATCGACGACAGGAATACAGAAACATATCTTATGAGAATTATTTATAGAATTCTATTTAAATTTCTTGATTTATTTCTAGAATCCTATAGATCTATAGGAAATGGATCTATATGATCCTATAGAGCCTAAAGATCTATAGGAAATGGATCTATAGGATCCTATAGAGCCTATAGATCCTATAGGTTCTATAGATTCTATACATCCTATAAATCCTATAGATTCTATAGGTCCTATAGATCCTTAAGATTCTATAGATTCTATAGATTCTATAGATCCGAAAGATCCTATAGATTCTATAGATTCTAAAGATTCTATAGATTCTATAGATTCTTTAGGTCCTATAGATCCTTAAGATCCTATAGATTCTATAGATCCTAAAGATCCTATAGATTCTATAGATTCTATTGATTCTGTAGATTCTATAGATTCTATAGATTCTATAGATCCTAAAGATCCTATAGATTCTATAGATTCTATAGATTCTATAGATTCTAAAGATCCTATAGATCCTAAAGTTCCCATAGATTCTATAGGTCCTATAGATCCTTAAGATCCTATAGATTCTATAGACCCTATAGATCCTATAGATCCTATAGATTCTATAGATCATATATATCCTATAGATCCTATAGATTCTATAGATTCTATAGATCCTATAAATCATATAGATCCTTTGTTTTGCATTTGCCTACGGGTGATTGTTTGGTCAAGCTAGCACTTTGTTTTCCTTTTCTCATTGATCAGAGCTTTAGATGCATACCTTTAAAGCTTATTAAGAAGTCGTGTGTTTGGGTAAAATTTTAATGACGGCAAGTTTTGCTCAATCATTAACAAGCACAGTTCATGACTGGCTTGTTTTTCGGAAAAACCTTTTCAAAATGTAATTTGTGCTTAGGGATTAAAAACGCACCCTTTCTGGCACACATAGCTTTGATGTTTTTGACAGAAATGCAAGAATTTTGTTTTAAGAAAAAGATGCGTTTTGCATTTAGAAGCAATTTAGACAAAATCGAATTGATTCTTTGAATTGAAATTGGAATAGTTGAAGAATTTTATTCAGTATATTGTAGTAAACTGTTCTAACTCTAAAGCACTATTAAAATAAGACTTTTAACCCAAAAAAAACACACTTCTTCTTTGATTTAAAATGATCTTTGATCTTCACATCACCCTAGTTGACTGCCATTTGTGGATATCATGCTTTGCTCTTTTTGTTCGCTCAACTCTAAATTCACTCTTTAAATTAAAAATAGATATATTATATTATACAAAATGTTATTCTTGTTTATCTGATAAACCCTCACTTTTTTTGATGTTTTTTTTTATTTTTATATTTAGGGTTTTACTCGTAACCAATCTCGCATTGTGATCATCATTTTGCCCTTTTTTTTTCACTACAAATTTCTGATTGATTCAATTCTTTGTGGAAAACTTTGATGGAAAATGGAAAAAGCTTTAAAATGAAAATAATTAGATAAATTAATGAGAAGTTTGAGAAGTTAGAAACTGTTTAAAACTTGATCTAACTTTGAGAACCGGGACAAGCCAAGTTCTGGCTCTGGTTCTGGTTTAGATTAATTATAAGTATGATCTAAGTTAGATTACAGTACTCCCAAAAATTATCTGGCCACCTGTGATAACCTATATCTATATTTTCTCTAATGGAAGTGCACCGTTTGCCTAGATTCCTCGAGATCACGAAAAGCGCTTATCAGAACCTATTGATGTGGGATTGGAAAATGTAGCTGACGATGAGATCTAGTGGAGGATTTGAGTGTTGAGCTTCTCGGAAAGCTTGGAAACCGTAAAATTGTCATCAACTCGGCTCGCCGGTGTGTACGGTGGTCGCCTAAATTAGACGTCGCCTGAATTCCTCGAAATCTCGAGAACCGCTTATCAGAACCTATCGATGTGGGATCGGAAAATGTAGCTGACGATGAGATCTAGTGGGGGATTTGAGTGTTGAGCTTCTGTAAAAACTTTGGAAGCCGGAGAATAGTCATCAACTCGGCTCGTGCATAGAAAACACGGTACTTACAGAGTTTCTTCAAAGGCTATTTGCTAGTTTCTAAATCTCTAGTTTTTCTAGTTTCTAAATTTGCGAAATCTCGACAACCGCTTATTAGAACATATCGATGTGGGATCGGAAAATGTAGCTGACGATGAGATCTAGTGGGGGATTTGAGTGTTGAGCTTCTGTGAAAACTTTGGAAGCCGGAGAATAGTCAACAACTCACCGGGGTGCACTACTATTAGGGAAAATACGGTAATTGTTATATGCTCTTAGAAACTTCAAGTTTTACCTATTATGAAAAAGTTTGTGGAAAAAAAAGAATTAGTTTCCAACTAGAGCTGCTTTATATTAGTCTATTTCAGCCCTTTTAAACCGTTGATATTTTGATTAGAATTTCATGGCTAAATTTTTACGAATAAGCTTTACTTCTTTATTAATTGTTTCTTTAGATTTTTACTAATAAATTTAGTTCTTTACTTTTTCTACTTACTAAAAACTCAAAACTTTAACATTTTTGTGAGAATTTAACTGACATCGAAAAGTTTAGTGATTGTGAAAAAAAAACGAATTAGTTTCCAACTAGAGCTGCTTTATATTAGCCTATTTCAGCCCTCATTTTTCCAAAGGCAGAAAATACAGTACTCTTGAATATAAAGATCAAGACTTAGTAACTTGCCATAAAACCAACTTAAACGTTGGTTTTATGGCAAGCTTATCATGGAAAAGTTTCACTCAGGTGTAACATTGACCTTTAATAACCAGTTTTATCTACACTACTGGACAATGAAATATGATATTTGAAAAACGATCATCACTTTCGCGCGTCCGTAACTCCCTTGTCTTTACCGTATTTCTAAATATTAATATTACCATTGTGTAGCCCTTGAAAAGAGCTTTCAGAAAATGTATAACACTAATAGTTTAAACTCAAAGACAAAGGAGTTACAGACGCGCGAAAGTGACGATCGTTTTTCAAATATTTCATTGTCCAGTACTATAGATAATTTTGGATTCTTTATTTCTTAAAAAATAAAATATAAATTTTGATTGCTAAACTTTAACTAACTAACTTTTCTGTTAAAAAAACCTTTCTTTTTAAGTTTATAAATAAAAAAACGATGTTAATGTTGGGGTAAAATGTTAAAAAAAAAGTATCGAAATGGGTAAAGCCTGTACAATTTCCCCACAAACTTTTTCAGATTTTAAGCTAAAATTTGAGCTTTCTAACAGCAGACAACAGCTTTATCAGGGAGATTTTCAGGGTAAAGCAGGGAAAACATTGTGATAATTCTAATTAAACCGCTTCCCGTAGAATACTTTATTCAGAAAAGTGATAAAGTGTAATCTATTCTGACTTTCAAATGCATCAAAGTTATCCAATAACATTCATGTTGTCTCAAATAAAAAAAAACAAAAAGATTTATCTATAGAATTACCTATTTTCTTTGAAACAACATCAATATTTTACTATTGAATTCTATTTTTTTATTCGATAAAGGTTAAAATCATACTTTAAAAACATTTAAAACTCATCTCAATGTTTTTTTTTGTTTATAAAAAAGCTTATATACATTTTTCGATGATCAAAAATGAACGCTTTTTCATTCAGAAAAATTGTTTACCCCTTTTTAAACAACAAGTTCTATTTGGATTTGTTTCAATCATTTGATTGATTGAAATTCATTTATTTGGTACATGCAAATGCGGATTTCAACATTTTCATAAATTTCCAACGATTGCAAGTGTTAGGCAGGCTTCTCCTTCTGTATTCTAGAATATTCTGCTGGGGACTCATGCTTCCCTAAGTGTTCATTCTGTAGTTAAAAACAATTTCTACCTGAAGTTATTTTCAAATTTTTAAGCCAAAATCGCTGCCACTCATTGACATAAGCTTTTCACGGAAATGCCTTCACATACCGGGCTTTATGGGTCTAGGCAATCAGGGTGAAGAAGAAGGGGAAGGGAAGGGAAGGGGAAGGGGAAGGGGAAGGGGAAGGAGAAGGGGAAGGGGAAGGGGAAGGAGAAGGGGAAGGGGAAGGGGGGGGGGAAGGAGAAGAGGAAGGGGAAGGAGAAGGGGAAGGGGGAAGGGGAAGGGGGAAGGGGAAGGGGAAGGGGAAGGAGAAGAGGAAGGGGGAAGGAGAAGGGGGAAGGGGAAGGGGGAAGGGGAAGGGGAAGGGGAAGGAGAAGAGGAAGGGGAAGGAGAAGGGGAAGGGGAAGGGGAAGGGGAAGGGGAAGGGGAAGGGGAAGGAGAAGAGGAAGGGGAAGGAGAAGGGGAAGGAGGAAGGGGAAGGAGAAGGGGAAGGAGAAGGGGAAGGGGAAGGAGAAGGGGAAGGGGAAGGAGAAGGGGAAGGAGAAGGGGAAGGAGAAGGGGAAGGGGAAGGGGAAGGAGAAGGGGAACGTTCTTTCATGTGATAAGCTTCCAACTTGACAACAATTCCATATTGATTCAAAAAAAGAATAAAATGATTAGCTAGTCTTATTAGGTACATGCAAATGCTGATTTCAACATTTTCATAAATTTGCAACGATAGAAACCTGATATCGATGATATAATCGATGAATGTTATAAACTATTTGAAAGTTGCAAATCTCCTCTACAAAATAGTCAAAAGCGTGTTTCAATTGATCGAAGGATTGAAGAAATTTCGAGGCCGAAATGCGAGTGACCAAAAAAAAGGAATCGAGTCACTTTAGGGACAAGTTTAGTGTGGTCAAAATAGAGTTAGCTTCCCAAAATTGAAGATTTAAAAAAAAGGATAACTATATATGAATTCATTAAAAAAAGTCTAACCGAAATGCATTTACAGAAATTTAGATAGAGCATAAGTTCAAAACCCCCAAAATTATCAAAAAAACTGGCTTTTTCACAAAAAAAAGAAAAATTATTGTAAAAACAAAGTTTTCCCATGAAATGATCCCAACTCTTCATTATTTTGAATGGTATTTTTAGGATAATGATTTTAGGGCGCTCATTTTCCACTATATAGTCAAAACCGAACTCTTGTGAAAGTGGGGTTTTCAAAAAGTGCC